TTGTATGTGTTATCATATGTGAAGTTATGAAGTTTGGTTATGTATGTGTTACTGAAACATGTTGTGAGGTTGAAAACACTCACAAGTAGCCTTTCAGGTACAACAGTAAAAAGGCCAAACAATGTGAATGGCTTATTGAGGAAATGCACACAAGCACAAGGATTACCCCAGGAACTGTGAAGAACAGAAACCTCACAGAGATAGTACTACACAATGGGAACTGTTTGACCCAGGTCACAGCAAAAGAGCTTTCCAGCAAGTGGGAAGAAGATATAAAAGGGGGAAATGACATCATGATGGTACTTCACTCTCCCTACAACACCACACCTTGAAACACCTGAGAGGGAAGTGATGGTCCCAGGCTAAAGGGATTTCTAGCCTGTGTATGACAACCTGGGAAACCCAAGCTGCAAAACCAAGGCAGCTTGTGCCTTAAGAATCTGACATCCTGTTTATCGCTCAAGGTGAAAATTTGCTAATTCATATCCTACTTTATCCAGTGTGTTAAGCTCAGTTTGAGGTTTTGTTTATTTACTAGGTAATCTGCTTTGATCTGTTTGCTATCACTTATAATCACTTAAAAAATCTATCCTTTGTAGTTAATAAACTCATTTTATATTTTAATCCAAACCAGAGTGTGTTTGACTAAGGTGTCTGGGGAAAACCTCAGCTTGGTTACCACAAGTGTGCACGGTCCTCTTCATATTGAGGAAGAGGCAGATCGGGTGTTAAATTAATATACTCGCCAGATATGACCAGGGAAGGCCAGTACTGCTCTGGGGTCCTCAGCTGGGAGGCTGGTGGTTAGAGAGCCTGCGTGTGACTGCAGCTGGGTGTGTCCCTACCTCTGTGAATGCTGGTGAAAGTGCAAGCTTGGAGGACTTTTCAACTTGTCACAGCAGCACAGTGTGAGAGGGAGCCCAGGCTGGTGGGTCAGAGGGCTCAGTGGTACCCCAGTTCCAGGTGGCACCACAGGGGAACCCATCACACCCTACCCCTATACTCAGACCACTCCTCGCTGATCTCCCCACACTCAACCCCCCACCCCAACGAGTCCCATCCCACTGCATCTGGACCACACCATCCCTGCTCCCAGAACCCACGCCACAGAGCCCGAACCAGCTGCACCTGGACCCCCCAATCCAGCATGCCCCACTCCCCCAGCCCCGCTGATTTCTCCCCGGACCTCCCCTGCTGAGCCCCAACCAGCTACACCTGGACGCCCACAGATTCCCCCCCACACCCAGACCCCCAACTGAGCCACCCACACCCAGACTGCCCCACACAGAACCCTCTCACTCCCACCTGGGTCCCTCCACACTAAGCTCCTCCACCTTTGGATCCTGCCAGGCTGAGCCTGCCTGCCCACACCTGGTATAGAGGGGCAGGGCCCCGGGGTGTTTCTGAGGTACACCCAGCCCTTGCACTGTGTCAGGGTAAAGTGTAGCCTCAACACCAAACCCGTGTCATTAGGGGGTGGGGGGAATGACTGCAGGGTGCTCCCCACTGCCATGCAGGAGCCTCCATATTTGCTGACAAAATTTGCAGAATTTTGAAGAATTTTAAAATATTGCGCACAGAATTTTTTAATTTTTTGAAGCAGAATTTCCTCAGGAGTACCTGATGTAATTTCACTCATGCTGGCTTTCTGATAGACTCCAGCTTCTGAACATTCTGATTTTTCCTAGCCTAACGATCAGTGGAAAAGTGTTTCTCCCACAGGGCCTTTGGCACTGCCTAAGAACATTAATTAATATATACAGCCAAATCCCCCTCCTCCGTCTTTTTTGAGGTGTAGGAAGGAAGCAGATATATTATTTGTGAAAATTAAAAGAGTTTTTGGAGATTTAACACAAGCAGCTGCTAAGTAAGTTTATAATAGCTCCCTGAAAATTACATCTTAAGGATCATCCATTCTGAGATACTGTAATTATTTTAAATATAGATCTGTTTATTATATGAGCTGTCTCATCTGCTTGATGCATAGGTATCTCTTTGAAAGCTAAATGATAGATACACTTCAGTGTCAATCATGTTTAGTGAAGTTCAATTCCACTGGGGGCTTTAACAGTTAACAAAAATGTTAGGAAGAGAAAATATCCGTCAAATTCTATTTTAGGAAGCATTTAATGTTCAATTATATTGTCACCTTTTAGCACATCTGTAGTTAGAATGGTCATTATGCACCCTGATTTTCAGAAGCAGATGCAGTGGCAACACACATTAACAGTAGCTTTACAGCTAGATAATGGAGTACCATTAATGTATATCTAATGTACAGGGGAGGGATAGCTCAGTGGTTTGAGCATTGGCCTGCTAAACCCATGGTTGAGAGCTCAATCCTTGAGGGGGCCATTTAGGGATCTGGGGCAAAAATTGGGGATAGCTCCTGCTTTGAGCAGGGGGTTGGACTAGATGACCTCCTGAGGTCCCTTCCAACCCTGATATTCTACGATACACTAATCACAGTTTACACTATCAACGGATTTCTTCTCATGTAGCAACTTAGTGATCTTGGTCAACATCACCAGATCTCCTGGAAGGTCTGTAGCATACAGATCTGTCACCACTGTTTTTAAAAAGAAGAAAAGTTCTGCTCTAGGTCAGAGTACTACAGTATCTTGGTCATAATTTAGCTCTCTTAAGCTTTCATAGCTATTCAGTTGTAGGAGTGAGAAGGAAAAATTCTCAGGTATCAAGTATCTTTGTTTTTTAATCTTTTGTAACTTAAAAGGAAATGAACTAATTATTCTGAATAATGACTGGGCTTGATGTGCCATTAAATTTTAAAAAGATAGGGATGGCCAGTAACTACTGCAATAAATTCTTCTCTGGCCACCAGTCCAGAACTAATACTTTGAAAAGTTTACTGGTCCAGAAATACTTGTATTACTCTGACAAAGTATTCTTAGCAATTTTCAAAACACAGTTCTTACATACAAACTGCAAGTTCACATAAGTTTACTATAATGCTTCTTCAATGATGCTATACTCCATTGAGAATTGTTTGATTTAACAGCAATTTTTCTTTAAAACATTACATTAATGATTAGCTTCAGACATATTAAGGCAAAAATTAAACCTCTCTTCCTGGCTTTCCAGGAGCCCTTCAACATCTAAAACAGTCTCCATTTATCTGAGACAATCAAAGAAAACCCAAAACAAAAACCCCAATCCCTCCACCCCCACCTTACCCTCCCAGTGATTTAATCTTGAGTCCATTACTCACAAATTTAAAAGAATATATGAAGGAAAAACAGGATTGCTTAACTATAGAAAATGAAAGATGGCTTCTCAAGGATCTTCTTCCAATAAGCATGTTAGAACTCAGCATACCTTATTTTTCTTATATCATAAATCCTAACCACTTCCATGTATTGTTTTGACTTTATTTTATATTGTCTTTAATTTCAAAGCATATCAAAGGTAACTAACACCCCTTCCACTTATGATGTTTAATGACAGACTATTAATGAGGCAAACATATTAGGTAAAAATTAGTAATAGAAGAACAGCACCTACAGTTACACTAGCTAGCATAAAATTACAAGATCTATTCATCTTCATGATTCAGAGTTATTGCCCGTTTAAGATTAAACTTAACAAAGAAAAAAGGTTTATAAGAGCATCCATATGTGGAACTGTTCTAGAATAACTACAGCACTTTAAATTCATACCCTACCTTATTCCAGAATAACTTCTGTGTAAATAAGCCATGAAGTGCGTAATGCTTTTTGTCTGAAGCATTTGATATCAGCTGAAGGCAGAGGTACGAGAGCAGACTAAAATGGACCATTAGTCTTTTCTAGTCTGACACTATGTTCTTAAATTTCTAACAACGTGAAATATACATGACCAAATGACAATCTCAGATGCACTGGCATGAACTAAGTGTAATTTGCATTGGGTAGTCATGTGATACAGCCAAGTACGCGCCCTGTTGATCTTGTAAAATGAGGTACTCCACAGGCACATCATCTGGTTACATAAGATAAAAAGTGATTCTTCCATATGAGATCATGACCTAGCCCTTGTTATCTAGTGGCGTATTAATCTTATTTTAACTTCAGACAAAAGCACAAAAATTTGATATTTCAGGCAACTGAACATATTTGGGCTATTTCTGTTAATGACCAAAGCTTAAAATGAACCTAGTCTTACAAATTGAAAAAATGGTGAAAGAATAAGTTTTCAAATTGAGATAAGCTTTATATAATTATTTTAAAACAAGACAATTAGATTTTTCATGTATCTATTCCCAAAAGAGTATACATGCTGCTTTGACTATATTACCATAGAGATCTCTATGGCAACCTCTGAAAATGAGGCCTAGGTAGAGCTAGTAGCATCTCTAAGCAGCTAATGAACACCAAGAACTCACATTTATATATTAAGATTTTTAACTCCTCCGGGTTCCAGGCAAGAATATTACCAGAATGTAAAATGTTTCAAATTAAGCAGTCTGCTGCAACTCAAATTATTGCAATCAAAACTTTCTTTGGTGCTACACTTTACTTCTTTCCACAGGGCAAGAAGGTGAATTACAAAAAAATACTGAATTGATCACAGCTTCTTTATATTAGTTGGAATTAGGACTTTTAATAAAAAAAAAGGTAAAAACCTCTCCATACTCTGGAAGACATAACTAGAACAATGCTATTATACATTAATTTATCTCTTTTATCAGGTAGTTATGTGCCATATAAATGCATATGTTACAACAAGTAGATGTCAGAATATCCTGAGGTGCTGAATAATACAGACTATTGCATATGCAATAAGACATGGCAGTTACAGCTAAACAGGACAAGCTTATGGGGCTTCTCATGATAGGAGTAAATAAGTATTTATCTGTAATATAATGGTATAACTTCAGAAAATAGGTGCTGAAAAACAAAAATGTGAAAAGATGATTATCTAGCCCGCAAGTAATGTAAGTATTAAATTAAACAAAAACCCAGTTAAATGCAACTTTGTTGTACTGAAAACATGCCATTTACCTTTCCAGTTTTGGCAACTGCTGTTTGGATTGAATGGCTCTGATACATTCCACAAAGTACTCTGGCTTTATAATTGGTCGATTGCAAATCAAAGCGCATATAGTCTGAAAAGAAGGAAGATTCATTACCACACTTAACAATTCAAGCACAATATGCTGTCACACAAAAAACAGTATTGAAATCTAATATTTATATAAGGTCTCAAATGTGGAATGTGTGTTACCTAAGTGCATGATCATTCTACTCGGGCTAATGTAAACAAACAAAAAAAAGTTTTGTTCTTACACCCACTTATTCTTTATCATTGGAATTATGTTGACAAAAGCCATTAAATGGAATACCCTTTTTATTACTAACCTACCAGCGAGCAATCTTTAAAAAAAATTAGAAAAAGGAATATCAGTGATGCTATACAAACAGACTTATTTCGCCACAGAAGAGCCATACATGCAAATTTACAAAATAGAATATTTAGATATCAAATTGCAGGTAAAATGACTGCTAACATCTCTTTTCTATGTAGTTGTTTGAAATTTCTAAGCCCTTGTCTACACTACAGTCTTATAGACAAAAGTTAGGTTTCACTGACAAAGCAGTGGAGGTGTAAACACAACAATGGTCCTCCCACCAATTTAACTCTCCTGCTATGCCGATTTAATAAAACCACCCCGACAAGCAGCATACAGCTTTTTGCAACAACGTTGTAGACACTGCGTTTGCTTATGTCATTCTAAGTGGCCTCCAGGAGGTGTCCCACAATGCCCATCATGCTCACTCTGGTAAGCAGTTTCTACTCTGCTGCTCTGCAGTCAGGTGCACAGGCATACACCCCTCCGCCTTTAAAGCTCTGAGAATACTTGAAATTCCACTTCCTGTTTGCTCAGCATGGACAGCTCACATTGCATCTTCCCAGCTGACCATGATGGCTTTCTGCAGCAGATGCGCTCCCACCTGGAGTATACCAAAGTTGTTGAATCTGTTGGGTCTGTGGGGAGGGAAGACTGTGCAATCACAGCTCCAATCCAGCTGTAGGAACTCTGACACCTACAAGCAGGTTGCTCGTGGCATGGATAAGAAGGGGCATAAAAGGGACAAACAGCAGGGCCATGCTAAAATCAAGGAGCTCAGGCAGGCGTTCCAGAGGGCAAGGGAGGCCAACCGTTGTTCTGGTGCGGCACTGAATAACATGCTATTTCTACAAGGAGCTGCACGACATCCTCGCAGCAACTTATCCTTTATTGCCAGGAGCCCCATGGATACTTTGGGGGGAATGGAGGCAGTGGCCAGCGGAGTCAACCCCAAGGACAAAAATAGTGGATGAGGAGGTTGGACAGGCAACAGGCTCATCTGTTGGCAAGGTGAGCCAATACCTCTTTTTGATTCTGGAAGGGTGTAGCCTGTCCCAGCAGTCCAGCTGTGGCATGCCTGAATTGGTAAGTAGTCTTTGTTTTTTGATAGTGCACGGTCATATGATGTAGAGATGTTCTTTATTTTGTTACATGGTGCATGTGGGAGAAGGGATCGAAATTAACAACACTAGATACTGTTTGCATCTGCTTCAATTCCCTTGTGTGGCTACGCAGTGGGGGCCCTGCAGAAAAGTTGGTTAATGCACACTGAGATCTCCCAGGAATCCTCCGTAGAGATCTCTAGGAAACTTTCCTGCAGATACTCTGCAATTCTCTGCCAGTGGTTCCTTAGCAGAGCTGCTTTGTTTCTTTCCCCGTTATAGGAAACTTTGCAGTGCCAATCAGCAATTACTTCTGGAGTAAGTAAAACAGCACAAAGGCAAGAAGCATACAGACCTGGTCTGAAGCCGTACGCATGCAGGAGATGCACCCTTGCATCTTCGGTTACCCTCAGTAGTGCGATTTCAGTTTTGTTAGTCTCTAAGGTGACAAGTACTCCTCCTCCTTTTTAGTATTCATAAGATTGTCCCTAGGCACTTGTACTGATCCCCTTCTGAAACTACCCAGACCCGTTGTCCCATCTTGCACCACCACCCGCGGTCCGAACTCCCCATGTTTAATGTTTGACTGTGCTGCATGCTTGCCAAAGGAAAGTGAGAAAGACATATATGTAACTTTTAATTGAAGACGCTGAGTGCACAAACAATAATGACTCTGTGTATTGTTTCTTTTGCTTCTGCAGATGTGCCCTTGAGGGCCAGCTTCTACACACCAGCGGAGTGCCTCCGTCAGATACGGAGGCGAACGAGGAGAAAGGAGGACATGTTTGTGAAGTGCTGCAATCGTCAGATCAGGCAAATAGCGAGAACAGAGACAATAAATGAAAAACCAGAAATGGATAGCCAGAAAGAAGACGGGGCAGGAGCGGATAATAGAGGGTTGGGAGCGATGATAAAGCTTATGGATAAGGCCATAACAAATTCACATCTATTTTTATCAATTTCACGGCCAGACAGCTTTAAAATTGGTCAATTTCACATCTTCACAATCCGAATCCACCACTTGGTGCTTGTTTCCAGAGCCCAGCAGCAACGCTCCACCATGTGCAGCTGTTCCGTGAATGCGAACATCAATCTTGAATTGTTTCTTTCCACAGAACACAGCGGGACAGGCACCATGGATTCCAGTTCAGTTTCTTAGGTCATGACATACTGAAGAATCAGCCGCATTGTGTTCGTAATGTTTATCACAAGACTGGTGAGCAGTGTAGGATCCATGCTTTCAGGCAGAGATGGTGGCTGAAAAGTTTACAAGGACAGTTTAAAAAATGGCGTGAAACGTAGTCGAAGGCCCTTGGAATTATAGGACGGAGAAAACTGCATCATGGGACAGTGAGCCCACCCCCGTAATGTACTGCAATCCCAGAATTCCTAGAAGGAGACGGTGGTGATTTGCACAGTGGGATAGCTACCCAGAGTGCACTGCTCTCTCTGTTGGTGCTAGAGCACCAACTGAGGACACGCTCCATTGACACAAGGGCATTGTGTGAACTGCCAAGAATGTAATTACAGTGGTTTATGACAGTAATGGAAGTTGACTAACGCTGTAGTGTCACATGACCTAAGTTGACTGTGTAGTTTTAGAAAAGAAAACAACCTTTATTCTCTTCTTGATGTAGAGGTGAAACTAATAGGAAGTTATTAACATAGATAAGTGAAGAACTGTCCCTCTTGTCAAAAAAAAAAAAAAATAGTTTACTAAACTCTGCTCTTATCAGTGCTACATCTGCTCAGTATGTGGAAAGTGTCAGAGTTCTAAAGGGTATTCACTGTACAACTCTCATCCAAATAGTTTTAACTGAAGTTAAGTAGCTATCAACCCATTCAAACACCCTCAGTGAGATACCCAATGAATTTTAACTGTAGAAGTAGAAGTCCCTGTCAATCAACTTTAAAAGATAACATTTAAAATATCCTCCAGTGGTTAAAATATTTGTTTTGTATGGTTAGAAATTTGTACAATGAAAATAGAAGACTGTGACTATTTTCCACAGTTGGGGAAGTTTTGAAAAGTTGAGACTGGAAAACAAAAACAAACAAACAAAAACAGATAACCCCATACAGATCCTGGAAATCATTCATTCTAGCACACTCACTGGTAGAAGGACAAAAAGGGTGGAAAAACAATATGATGAATGTTTAGCAGCTCTAATAAGTAGCCACACAACTGACTATAATCAGGGTTATCGAGAAGGACTTGTTGAGTTTTGTGATAAAGCATGGCCAAAAGGCAGCAAAAGAGTGTTAGAAGGGAGTTTTATTCCCTGTAGAGGGAAGAAAGTTTCCTATAGATTAATTAAAGCACCTGAAGTCAATTAGAGCAACTGAAGCCAGTCACATGATAAAAAAACCCTGCTTCAATCAGACAAGAGGAGGAGCTGAAGCAGAGTGGATTGGTGTTGAAGCAGAAAGCAGTTTGGAGGGAAGCGCTGCAGTGGGCTAATAAGACCAAGACCCTAGGTAAAAGGACACCTGATTTGTGCAGAGGGAAGGTAGGAAGCCCCACAAGCTCAAGGGCAGGAGAGGGAAGTAGCCCAGGGGAAGGAACCGCTCGTTCAAGTGGTTTACTACTATCCCTAGGGCCCCTGGGCTGGGACCCAGACTAGAGGGCGGGCCCAGGTCCCTCCCTCTCCACTCCCCTCCTCTAGGACACTAGTGGGGCAGTTAATACCCCAGTTCAGGGGAAAGAAACGGTGCCACCTTCCCCTGAACTGGAAACAGAAGAAACAGCAGAGAAAGCGCAAGATCCATCATAGTAGTGCCGGCAATTTGCCAGTTTCAAAAAAAGACTGCCAGGGAACCCAACGGTCAATTCAAAGCCAAGCCACAGAGCTGCCACTTTGACAAAGAACTGCATGCCATATTTGGTGAAGTCTCCACCGCCATGGATACTTCCGAGGAGCCAGAGCTACATGCCCCGGTGCAAACAGCAAGGATGAGGATAGGGAACATCTGACCAGGGGGTCCAGCTGTGCTGCAAGCCAGGACCTGTTTGAGACTCCACTGCAAAGTCAGTCCTGGAGGTCAAGCATGGGTAAATCTGATGCCAGGGAAAGATCGTCAGGTAAGTGTATAAATGTATTTCCCATTACACTCATTCACAGTTATCAATTTTTCATTAATTTACTCATACTAAAAGTAGTAATGGTATAACAAAGAGGTAGCATTGTTATCTGCTTTTCATTCCCCAGAAGAGTGAGATGAGGAGAGTTGGAGTATGTGTCATGTGGAGCAATTTATTTATGTACACAGAGATATCCTTTGAATCCTCCTGAGGGAACCAAATGAAACTTTCATGGAGGTACTCTGCAATCCTCCTCCCAAGGTTTCTAGTGATGGCAGCCTTATTTCTTCCTCCGCAGCAAGACACTTCCCCACACCAGTCAGCAATAACTTTGGCAGGCACCACTGCAGTAAACAGGCTAGCAGCATACAGACCCAGGCAACTTCAAGATGCCATGAGCAGCTGTGATCTCTCTTCCTTTGTTACCCTCAGGATAACAGTTAACAATCACCCCCACCTCGTGGAAAATGGTGCCAGCATTCAGTGCCATAGCCCTATACTCAATTTCATGCAACTGAGCAACGTCTTCCTCATTTTCCTCATCCCTTGAAGGCCATCCTCACCCCGGCTGGTACTGTTAGTGGTACTGCACAAAAGCTCTCTGAAGCAGAAGTGTCAACAAGCATATCGTATGTGAAACTTTAGGAGAGCAAAGGAAGGGAGTTCTGAACCTTTAACTTTTGTTTTTCATTGTTACTATACTAACAATGGTACCTCTGTTTTATCTGCAGCTGCTGCAGCCCCCTCCGCACCTGCAAAACATCCGAGTCAGACAAGGAGAAAAAACAAGAGGACTCCAGATAACGTGTTTAGCGAGATCCTGCAAGGCAGTGCTGCATGGGGCTGGAGGGTGAGTATTTCAGACTGGAGAAGGAAAGAGCGGACAGGAGACAGACCCAGGAGGCCCATCAGGAAATGCAGAGGGAGATGCACCAGGACATAATGGGGCTTCACTGTCAGCAAATACAGATGCTGCAGACTCTTGTGGGCCTAGAGGTTCAACAATAGGCTCACCTCCCTTTGCAGTCCATGGAGAATTCCAGTACAGTAACTGCATATATCCCCCTCAACATTCCAAATGGCCGCAGCAGCTCCCCCTACCACTCCACACCAGGGGACCCTCAGTACAACCACAGCTTCACATACACATACAGGAACTGTGGCTCTCAGAGGTCAGTGTAACTAAAATGAACATAAATGTTCTTTCCCCTTGTTAAGTTCTGTTCCATTCATTTATTAAGTTTTTAATGTATTTGCTTTTAAATTGCAGAGATTTTTCTATGCGCTGGTTCTGTTACTCAAAATTCTATTCCTCGGGAAATAATTCATCTTTATTAATTCATAATATATGCTGCAGAATGTCTAGCAGCACCGAAAGTACCCACTTACTTGTTCTTGTACAGTGTGACAGAACTCATAGGATCACAGATAAACAGTTTAATAGTTATAAATAGTTATTAACAGTTTAATAGTTATAAATGTAGTTGAATCTTTGCCTTGGTGCTGTTGAAATGGCTGGTACATTGCTTCATGAGCCATGGGAGCAAGGAGTAGGCTGAATCCCTCAGGATCACTACTCATCAATATCACCAATGGTAATCCGCCAGCCATGAAAGAAAGTCCCTGATTGCAGCTTTCTGAACAGTCCTGTGTTCTTAAAGAGACAAACATCATGTCCTTCCTTTACCAGCCAAGACTGATGTCAGTGAAGTGTCCCAATAATCCAACAATGCTTGCATAACCATGGAAAAGTAGCCCTTTCTGTTGAAATACTCTGGGGCAAGTTGGGCTGGTGCCAAAATAGGGATATTCATACTACCTATCACTTCACTGCAGTTTGGGAACTCCCTTGCTGAAAATCCATTCACTATGTCCTGCATGTTGCCGAGAGTCACGGTCCTGCATAATAGGAGACAATTAATGGCCCTGCACACTTGTCTCATAATAGCCCAGTGGATTTTCCAACTCCAAAATGCTACCAGTGAATGGGAAATCAATCTGGTGTTGCAAGTTTCCACAGTGCAGTCACCACTCATTTCTCCATGGTAAGTGCAGCTCTCGTCCGGTGTCTATGAGAGGGAGGATTGGGGTAACGTCGGCATACAGATCCAGGAATGTGGCCTTGCACATCCAAAAGTTGCAGTCACTGCTCTCATCCCAAACCTGCATTATGAGGCAATCCCACCAGTCAGGACTCATTTCTCAGGCCCAGGGTAGTGCTTCACCATTTGCAGCTGCTCTGAATAACCCTGAATTTTTTCTCTCTATTTCCCACAGCAATTTGTCCTCCACAAAATCATCATGTTCCCCACTGATGCAGTTCTTCTTGAAGCTCTGCAAATACAATAGCAGAAGACTGTGCATCCTGTGTTTGCAACACACATGACAACTGTGCAGAGCAGTGCATCTTCTGTCAGAGATGGCGGAGAGCAAGAAGGGATACACGGGTTTGCAGGATTTTTAAAGGCTCAAAAATTATGGTATACGGATGACATTATGGGATGGAGACAGTTGCATGCTGGGAACTTCACCCTTTGTTCCCAGTCACCCCTGCACAACTCATTTCTGCCCCACCATGCATTGCCAAAATGTGCCAAAAGACAGTGTGCTGGACAGCGGCAAGTTGCACCCTGGGATACCTAACTATGGCGCATTGCACTATGCATCAACACAAGCACTCCTTGTGAGTACACACAGTACAGATGCAAAGAGCCAAATATACAAACATACGAGTGTATGCAAATACAATAGCTTTATGCCAAAGTAACCTGAGTCAGCCAAACTTTGTAGTGTAGCATGGTCTTATCCAAACGTCTAATGAAAGCATCCAGAGTTACATTACATAGGATTTTCATACAAACTAGAAAGGACCTAAATTCTCATGTTTGAGGATAGAAACTAACCTCTAACTACAAGTTAGGAGGAAACTCTCCCCTTCCCCCCGCCACCGCCCCCATGGCCGGATTATTCCATAACCATTTACTACAGGGTTTCTTGCACTTCCTCTAAAGTATCCAGTTCTGGCTTCTATCAGACATTAAGGATAATGAATGTTATGGACTGCAACCCTAAGAGTATGATATAGTAACTCCTATGTTCCTCTGATTCCTACTTAAGTGGTCTGCTTCTTTTGCATTTTCAAATACCATAGCAAACAGAAAAAATAAAGCCCAGAAAAATACATCATGCACAAAAGTGGACAATTGCAAAATAGTTTAACTGCTAAACAGTTCAGACTCTTCTGATTTTAGTTAAGTGTTCATATTGAGTTTTTAAGGACTCTTTACTTGAAAACAATCATTTTCCTGGGTGTAAACCTGGCCTCACTAAAGTCAAGGAGAGTTTTGCCACTGACTTCAACAGCGTGCTAAGATTTCAGCCCATACATTTTCATATTGAAGTCACAAAATGTATTAACATACAGAAATTCAACCTACCTTAACAGTAACTTTCACTGATATCATGACAAGATGAGTACATTCTTCTGACCAATCATTCACAACAAGGCCTCCAAGCTGCAGAATAGCTTGATTTAAAGCAGTTTTCCCAGAAACCTCTAAACACGAGGAGCAGACAATCAAAGGTTCATATTCTACTCTGCAAGGAACAAGTTACAGAAGAGAATTGTCTAAATTAGGGCTGTCAAGCGATTAAAAAAAATTGTGATTAATCATGCGATTAAAAAAATTAATCATGCTGTTAAACAATAACAGAATACCATTTATGTAAATCTTTTTGGATGTCTTCTACATTTTCAAATATACTGATTTCAAGAAGAACACAGAATACAAAGTGTACAGTGATCACTTTATATTTGTTTTTTATTACAAAATATTTGCACTGTTAAAAAACAAAAGAAATAGCATTTTTCAATTCCCCCATTACAAGTACTGTAGTGCAATCTCTTTATCATGAAAGTTGAACTTACAAATGTAGAATTATGTACAAAAAATAACTGCATTCAAAAATAAAACAATGTAAAACTTTAGAGTCTACAAGTCCACTCACTCCTACTTCTTGTTCAGCCAATTGCTCAAACAAATTTGTTTACATTTGCAGGTGATAATGCTGCCTGCATCTTGTTTACAATGTCACCTGAAAGTGAGAACAGGCATTCGCATGGTACTGTTGTAGCCTGCGTTACAAGATATTTACGTGCCAGATGTAATAAAGAGTCCTATGTCCCTTCATGTTTCAACCACCATATCAGAACACGTGTGTCCATGTCTGCTCAATAACGATCCAAAGCAGTGCAGACCCATGCATGTTCATTTTCATCATCTGAGTCAGATGCCACCAGCAGAGGGTTGATTTTCTTTTTTGGTGTTTTGGTAGTTTCCGCCATGGAGTGTTGCTCTTTTAAGACTTCTAAAAGCACGCTCCACACATCGTCCCTCTCAGATTTTGGAAGGCACTTCAGATTCTTAAACCTTGGATCCAGAGCTGTAGCTATCTTTAGAAAGCTCACGTTGGTACCTTCTTTGCATTTTGTCAAATCTGCAGTGAAAGTGTTATTAAAATGAAAGTGCTCGGTCATTATCCGAGACTGCTCTAACATGAAATATCTGGCAGAATTTGGGTAAAACAGAGCAGGAGACAAAATTCTCCCCTAAGGAGTTCAGTCCCAAATTTAATTAAAACGTTTATTTTTTTTTTTTAAACAAGCGTCACCAGCATGGAAGCATGTCCTCTGGAATGGTGTCCAAAGCATACAGGGGCATACGAATGTTTAGCATATCTGGCAAGCAAATATCTTGCAAGGCCAGCGACAAAAGTGCCATGCAAACGCCTGCTCTCACTTTTAGGTGACATTGTAAATAAGAAGAGGGCAGCATTATCTCCTGTAAATGTAAACAAACTTGTTTGTCTTAGCAATTGGCTGAACAAGAAGTAAGACCGAATGGACTTGTAGGCTCTGAAGTTTTACATGGTTTTGGTTTTGAGTGCAGTTACATAACAAAAAAAATTTACATTTGTAAAATTGCACTTTCACGATAGAGATTGCACTGCACTCCTGTACTTGTGTGAGGTGAATTGAAAAATGCTATTTCTTTATCATTTTTACAGTATATTTGTAATAAAAGTTATATAAAGTGAGCACTGTATACTTTGTATTCTGTGTTAGAATTGAAATCAATATAGTTGAAAATGTAGAAAAACATACAAAAATATTTATAATAAATTTCAATTGGTATTCTATTTAATGGTGCGATTAAAACTGTGATTAATTGCAATTTTTTAAACTGCAATAAATTGTTTTGAGTTAATCATGTAAGTTAACTGCGATTAATCAACAGTCCTAGTCTAAACAGTTGAAGTGAAACATTATAGGCAGACGGAGCTGTCTGAAACCTGGAATTCCTGTCTGAAACATTCCTGTCTGGAGCCCCCGCAGGCAGCAAGCTGGGCAGCCCAGGGAGTCTGGAAGTCAGGCAGTTCAGGGAGCAGAAACTCCAAAGGTTCCCACTGCCAAGGAGCTGGGGGAGCCTGAAAGCCCTGGGAATCCTTACTCCAAGGCAGCCCTCCTAATTGGCTACCCTGAAGACAAGGAGACTGGAAGTTCAGGAAGGAAATTTATCTGGATCTTTTAAGGTCTAATAGCATCAACAAAATATGTCAAGTATACTGAATAGGACAGTTGATTAAAGAAAATACATACATAACTAACAAATGTCAAAGTAAAATTCAAGTTAAAATAGATGTTGCTTCTTTTAAAGCAGTGGTTCTCAACCAGGGTACTTGTACCCCGGGGGTACACAGAAGTCTTCCAGGGGGTACATCGACTCATCTAGATATTTGCCTAGTTTTACAACAGGCTACATAAAATGTACTAGCAGTCAGTACAAATTAAAATTTCATACAATTACTTGTTTATACTGCTCTATATACTATACACTGAAATATAAGTACAATATTTATATCCCAATTGATTTATTTTATAACGATATGGTAAAAATGAGAAAGTAAGCACATTTGCAGTAATAGTGTGCTGTGTCACTTATATTTTTGTGTCTGATTTTGTAAGCAAATAGTTTTTAAGTGAGGTGAAATTTAGGGGTTCACAAGACAAATCAGACTCCTGAAAGAGGTACAGTGGTCTGGAAAGGTTGAAAGTCACTGTTTTAAAGAATGTACTAATTTTGTTCACCCTAAGTTTAAATTTACACTGGTTAAGAACCCTTCATTCCCATTAAGTGTGAAATATATTTTTTTTTAAATTTGTTACAAGTTCAATTTTCTGTCCATTCCCTTTACATTTCCAGCACCGCTTCCTCTCTCTCCTGTTAGTGTAAAAAAATCCTTCTATACAGCTCCTCTAATCTGAATCTGCATCGCTCTTCCTCATCAAGTCTCCCATCCCTTAAATCTAGCCTGAGAAACCCACACTTTCTTCTTTGGCTTTGACTCAATTTCCCCCTCTGCTGCTCTATTAAAGAATCATATAGTACTGTAAGGGCTTTATCCCCTCATTGGTGCTGGCACTAGAGGTGCTGCAGCACCCCGGCTTGAAGTGATTTCCATTATATAAAGGGTTTACAGTTTCGTTCAATGGCTCTCAGCACCCCGACTATAAAAATTATTCCAGCACCACTGCCTCCACAGTAGGAAGATAAAACCCTGGAACTGGGAGGAGGATTGGAAGGAAGGTAGAAAGGAAGTCCCAATGCCACAAGAAATACATCTCCATCTTCAAAATGCTAGGATTTTTGCAGGCAAATTATTGTGGATCCTGTCAGCATTAACTTTCCTGAGGGAGAGAAGAAAGCAGTAGAGTTCTGCAGTGTGGGGAGAGGAATTCTTAGTATGTCTGCTCCTGACAGCTGGAAGGCTAATAGCTATTAGATCAGGGGTGGGCAAACTCTTCGGCCCGAGGGCCACATCTGGGTGGGGGATTTGCATGCAGGGCCATGAATTTAGGGCTGGGGCAGGGGGTTGGGGTGCAGGAAGGAGTGTGGAGTGTGGGAGGGGGCAGTGGTGCAGGGAGGGAGTGCAGGAGGGGCTCAGGGCAGGGGGTTGGGGTGCAGGAGGTGTGCGGGGTGTGGCGGGGGCTCAGGGCAGGGGGTTGGCGTACAAGCAGGGGGCTCAGGGCAGGGGGTTGGGGTGCAGGGTGAAGGAGGGGTTTAGGGTGCGGGCACCAGCCCAGGTCCACTAACCTGGACCGGCTCGGGGGTGGCAGCGGTGGACACCGGGGCCAGGGCAGGCTCCCTGCCTGCCCAGGCCCCAGCCCCATGCCGCTCCAGGAAGCGGCCGTCACCACATCCTTGAGGCCCCTGGGGGAGTGGGGGACAGAGGGCTGAGTGCGCTCCCCTTGCCTGTGGGTACCTCCCCCGAAGCTCCCATTGGCCAGGAATGGGAGCTTCGGGGAAGGTACCCACAGGCAAGGGCAGCGCAATCAGCCCTCTGCCCCCCTTCCCCCAGGGGCCTCAGGGACGTGGTGCTGGCTGCTTCCCGGAGTGGAGCAGGGCCCATGGCGCCACAGGGTGGCAATCCCGCTGGCTGGATCCAAAGCCCTGAGGGGCCGGATCTGGCCCGCAGGCCATAGCTTGCCCACCGCTGTATTAGAGAGATACAAGATTGTTACACAAATGTGGCTGTGTCTCTGAATGTCGTTTGCAGTGTTGCAGCTTTGTTGGTCCCAGGATATAAGAAAGACAAGGTAGATGAAGTAATATAAGCTTGTCCCTTCCATCACCAGAAGTTGGTCCAATAAAAGGTACTACCTTACCTACCTTGTCTCTCTGAATATCTTGATATATTAGCTAGTTTAAGGGCTAATCTTCCTCCTCCTTCTATGGCAAGAGAGGGAGAATGAATTAGCAAATTTTTGCATGAAGATGTTCCTAGTTTCTTGTTCCCTCTGTCCTTTGTATCAAAAAAGGGCAGATATGTCAAGCTGCACGAATTTCTTATGTAGCTTAGTTGCATATATTAATGGAACAATGACATCCAGTCATGAGAAAAAATATTATCAATAGCCAGCAATGGTTATCATTAGAAACTGGAGAGGTCGAACGATTGGATATTGTGCTGGGAATTATGCAGAATGATGCACTACTACACATGTGGCACAATCCATAGTACAGGGCTATGGCATATGAAAAGAGCTCTTCCAAATCTTTATAAACTGAGATAAAACCAACAGGCCCCTGTATGCTAAGTCATTTGTTTTCAAACTGGAAGGGGGGTGAAGAGCACAAAAAGGTTATTGGGGGGAGGGGGAAACAAGCTGGGGTATAGGACCATGGCCAGCCGGGTGTCTAGGCAAGGACAGGACAGTAGCTGGGAGAGCACACAGGGAGTCCTCAGGGGCAGGACTTGCAGCCCTTGCAGCAGCTTACTGCTCTCCCCTCCTCCCCTTACAGATTACTGAGAACTCCCTGAGTGCTCTCCTCCCTGCTACCCTGTCTAGGACACCTGGCCAGCCGCAGCTCCACATATGTTAAACCCTCAGGAGCTTGAAGGACTGAGGGCAGGGGGGAGATAGGACCAGGCCTCCTCACCGTCTCTGTGACATGCTGCCATAGACTCCTCCAAAGACGGAGCCAGCTGGATCCTAGGCCTCCGCACCCTCTCTGTGACATGCTGCCATGGACTCCTCCAAAGACGGAGCCAGCTGGATCCTAGGCATCCTCACCCTCTCTGTGACATGCTGCCATGGACTCCTCCAAAGACGGAGGCAGCGGAGTCCTACTTTCAACCTGGGCATGAGCCGCCCTCTTTCCTGAGTCACTTGCTGCCTCAGATAAATGGGAGTTGGTAAGGCTGTTGTGTGACACCCATGGGGGTCACAGCAAAAAAGTGCTTGGGAACCTTTGTGCTAAGACATCTCTTGAAAGTTTTATATTTTGAATACTGAGGTGTTGATTACTGCTACTAACTTATGCTTACTCTACAGTAATAAGTTATTTTCTTAAAAATTATTCTCCTCAACCTCTGAGGATAGGACAAGTAAGGGTCTTAAATTGCAGCAAGGGAGGTTTAGGTTGGCCATTCGGAAAAACTTCTTAACTGTCAGGGTGGTTAAGCACTGGAATAAATTGCTCTGGGACAGAGACGGGCAAACTACGGTCCGCAGGACCTTCCTGTCCAGCCCCTGAGCTCCCGGCCAGGGAGGCTAGCCCCCGGCCCCTCCCCCACCCTTCCCCCTCTGCCGCAGCTACGCCGCCGCGCGGGCAGCATGGCTGGCTCTGGCCAGGCGGTGCAGCTGCTAGTCCTGCTGCTCTGAGCAGCATGGTAAGGGGGTGGGGAGCGGGGGGGTTGGATAAGGGGCAAGGGGTCCTGGGGGGGCTGTCAGGGGACAGGGAGCAGAGATTGGATGGATGGGGCGGAGGTTCTGGGGGAGGTAGTCAGGGAATGCAGGGGGGGTTGGATAGGCGTGGGAGTCCCGGGGGGCCTGTGAGGATAGAGGTGTAGATAGGAGTCGGGGCAGTCAGAGGACTGGGAGCGGGGGGGGTTGGATAGGGGTGGGATCCCGGGGGCATTAGGGGCAGGGGTCCCAGGGGCGGGGGGAGTCAGGGGACAAGGAGCATGGGGGGTTGGATGGGTCGGGAGTTCTGAAGCGGGCAATCAGGGGGCAGGAAGTGGGAGGGGGCGGATAGGGGAAGGGGGCCACGCTGTTTGGGGAGGCACAGCCTTCCCTACCCGGCCCTCCATATAGTTTCGCAATCCCGATATGGCCCTCGAGCCAAAAAGTTTGTTCGCCCCTGCTTTGGGAGGTGTTGAATTTCCATCATTGGAGATTTTTAATAGCAGGTTAGACAAACAGCTGTCAAGGATGGTCTAGTTATTACATAGTTCTGCCTTGAGTGCAGGGGACTGGACTAGATGATCTCTCGAGGTCCCTTCTAGTCCTATGATTCTATTTTCCAAGAGTGTACTGTACATTGTTCTTTGGCTTAAAATTGTTCCACTTTTTGGTGCTAAAGTCATGATTGAATATGGTTCTGTGATATTAGTTTCTGAAACATGTTTCAAATATATTTGCTAAATGCGATACACTAAAGTAGCTTATTGTTATAAGAACTAAAGAGTGCTGTTCTGCTACAAACTAATGACACTGGTAGCAATGAGTCAGAGTAGGAGCCCAATTTAAGAGACAAAGTCAGCTTCCAACCTCCTTTAACACTGATTTAACAGTCATTAAAAAAAAAGTTATCAGTTACTTTATTTCTTCCTTGAGTATCACTGTATATTTATGAGGAAAATCACTGCCTTACCTCTTAAATCAAAGGCTGTGTAAGAGTGCAGCTCTGCAGCTTCCTTAGTTCCTTTCTCTCCACATCACTGACAGCGGAAGGAGACTCTGCCAAATTTCATCTCATGCCCCCAAATTTTATTCCTTTTGTAAATGGTCATGGATGTTTTAGGAACAGTTTTCTTAAATAGGGTTTTCATTCTTTGTTTAGGCTAATTTTAGGACACTTAATGCTTATGATGCAGAGTCACTTATGGGCTAATCTTTTACCACAAAAGGTTTCAATGTCAATTCACAGGAAGAACCTTCTACTTGAAGGTTGAACACATATCACTTTATTTTCCTTCTTTACAGAAATTTATCACTACTTTCTCTATTCTTTTACCTCCTTAAGTACACCCTGACAGCTGCAATTTTATTTCAGCATTTCAGAATAAATCCAACTAGTTCTCACCTGAACTTGCTTTCAAAGACTCCAAAATTGACTCTATCACCAGACTTCAGAGTTCTGGAAGTACCATTCAAAACTTTTTCTCCATTAACAGAGGTGCCATACTTAGAGGTGTCTTTTATTATTAATTCAGGGACTGAGAGAGCTTGACTCTGAAAATGAATATAAATAGGTACTCAGAAAATTATCTTATATTGTTACAGAACAAGCAGCAGCAGATGTATAAAATGAAAACACTTATGAGATATTCATATTTCTGTCTTAAAAATATACAGTATATTGAGACAAATGTTAGCTATGCAGTTCAAAGTTTATCACCTCCTTTCCATTACAAACAATTGAGAAAAAAATCTCCATAACTACTTAAGAGAAGTAGTATTTTTTGCATTCAACTTTGTTTTACTATAATTCACTACCTCTGCCTTTTGTTATATGGTAGTCATGATACCAATGCATCTGTACCCATGTACCAATATCAGGATGTGCTATTATAGCTCAGAGTGATGTTGGGGTGCATTTCCTACCACTACAGATTTACTTTTTAGTAAATCTTTGTGTAACATTGCTCATTTTTTGCCTTCTCTGTGACCAGTCTAGAAGCTATGGAGAAATTTATATAGCTATTCTATTACCTTTAGAGTTTGTAGATATTCATAAGTATTTGTGTGGGTCAGAATTAAAGCCCTAGTTCTGCAACTCAACGCATGCAGGTGGACCCTGCATACATACAGAGCCCTGCTGACTTTAGTGGGCCTCTGTGCTACAGCTAGGGTCCACTATTGTGCGTCAAATTACAGAAAGCCATTCTAAGGTTGCTGTGCAATGTTTTACATATGTGATATGTCACCAATGTGATAGTTACCAAATACACAAACCATAAACTTAATTGAATATTCACATTCAAATACCTTAATTGATCATTTTTACTCTTTACAATCCCCCCGGGCATTGTAATGTTGGTATGTAATTTACATACGGATTATATTAATCATGGGAAATAACAAGAAAAATGTTTCTGTGTGGAACAAACCGTATCAAATTTTGCTCAGTTACATAAGTGAGACTCAACTACCTCAAGAAGTCAGCGGAAGTTAAACCTGTGTGGCCATAAAGGTTATGTCTACAAAGACATAGCAAAGAAAAACCCACGGCTGGCCTGTCCAGCTGACTCGAGCTCATGGGGCTCGGGCTGCAGGGCTGTTCCTTTGCTGTGTACACTTCCAGGCTTGGGCTCCCACCTTGCAGGGTCCTAGAGCTCGGGCTCCAGCCCAAGCCTGGAAGTCTACACAGCAATGAAACAAGCCCCACAGCCCGAGCTGGCTGCCATGGGCCAGCCACAGGTGTCTAATTGCTGTGTAGACATACCTAAAGACACAAGCTTGGAATACAGAAAGTGAAGTGAGTCACAATCAATACCAAACCTTATGAGGCCTGTCTATATGGGGAAATTTACTGACATAATTACACCAATATAACTCCCCATGTGGGCATAAGAGTATCCACAGGGGGAATTATACCGATATTATTACAGCAGTATAATTTTGTCAGTCAATTTCCCTGTGTAGAGAAGCCCTTAGAAATATTCAAGAAAAAGACAGCATGAGTCTACTGCCACCGTAAAATGTAGGTTTGTTGGAATAAGACTGGAAATGATTTCAGATTGAAGAGCATATATTAAAGGTGGGGGAGTATCCCTAAACCCAGTCAGTTTTAGGTCATATAGCCATAATTAGTAAAGTGGATACTTACAAGGTTAGTTTCAGGGTGGGTGACAGTCAGAACTGCATGACTTCGACTTATTGACTGATCATCCTGAATTAAAATTGCACAGTTCTTGCGTCCAACAACATATTCAGTACCAACCAAAAGTCGATATGGCTCTCCTGAGAACAACAAAATTTACAAATATTTAACAGCAGAAAAACATAAGTACTTGTGAGCCATTTAAAAGCTTTTGTTAATATATACCAAACTCAGTCCTGTAATCATAGAATCATAGAATACCAGGGTTGGAAGGGACCCCAGTAGGTCATCTAGTCCAACCCCCTGCTCAAAAGCAGGACCCATCCCCAATTAAATCATCCCAGCCAGGGCTTTGTCAAGCCTGACCTTAAAAACTTCTAAGGAAGGAGATTCTACCACCTCCCTAGGCAACGCATTCCAGTGTTTCACCATCCTCCTAGTGAAAAAGTTTTTCCTAATATCCAACCTAAACCTCCCCCACTGCAACTTGAGACCATTACTCCTTGTCCTAGATGTATTGGGCAGGATTGGAAGTGCAATTCTATTTTACAGCTACATTTTTTCTTTCTCACTGGCTTCTGCACACTTGAGCTAGACTCACTGTTGTGAGGGAAAAAGTAGTTAATAGTTCTACGGCAATCTTCCAGAGAATGAAGTGCATCACAGTGCTAACTAAAAACAACTTGCAGTACTGCTTACAGGAAATGTACAGTACCACTTTTGGGAACCATTAAGTTTTATGTGAAGGAAAAAGTATAACATACTGCTATTCCAGAATATTACTCAGAAAGACAACATACAAAAGAGATTCAGATGAAAAAATCCTACAACTTTTTAATTGAATGCTGGATGATCTACAAGAGAAATCAGATCATAGCTGGTAAATATCCACTCCACTTTGACTGACTGTTATATTCCACTCTTGGCATTTGTAATCTAGACAACATGATGGCACAATCGCATACATTTTGAGTGAACATGAAAAACATGTTCACCTATTTGCCAGTAGAAAGAAACTTTTCCTGATCAAGGTGGGTGAATAAAGAGGTAAAGCACCAATTTCTACAGAACACAAGCTTTCATTTAAGGAAAGAGTCACTTTATAGCCCTGAGCAGGTAACTTTCAAATATGAATAGCTGTGCAGTGCTGTCTTTCTGAATATAATAACAATAACAGTGCCTCTGCTGCTGCTCATCACTTCCCTAAGCAGCAGAATTACTAAAAAGATTCTACTCAGTTTCACTGCACTACTTAGAACCCTGTTGCCAGTATTAAAATTAACTCAAACACACTTACTCTGGGGTGGCTTGGGAAACTAAAAGCAGCAGCACTTAGAATCACAGAATTATAGAACTGGAAGGGACCTTGAGAGGTCATCTAGTCCAGTCCCCTGCACTTGTGGCAGGATTAAATATTATCTAGACCATCCCCGATAGGTGTTTGTCCAACCTGCTCTTAAAAATCCCCAATGATGGAGATTTCACAACCTCCATGGGCACTTTATTCCAGTGCTTAACCACTCTGACAGTTAGGAAGTTTTTCCTAATGTCAAACCTAAACCGCCCTCGCTGCAATTTAAGCTTCTTGTCCTATCCTCAGTGGTTAAGAACAATTTTTCTCCTTCCTCCTCCTTGTAACAACCTTTTATATCCTTGAAAATTGTTATGTCCCCTCTCAGTCTTCTCTTCTCCAGACTAAACAAACCCAGTTTTTTCAATCTTCCCTCATAGGTCATGTTTTCTAGATCTTTAATAATTTTTGTTGCTCTTCTCTGGACTTTTTCCAATTTGTCCACATCTTTGCTGAAATGTGGTGCCCAGAACTGGACACCATAATCCAGTTGAGGCCTAATCGGCGCAGAGTAGAACTGAAGAATTACTTCTCGTGTCTTGCTTACAATACTCCTGATAATACATCCCAGAATGATGTTCGCTTTTTTTCCTCCCAACAGCGTTATACTGTTGACTCATATTTAGCTTGTGATCCACTATGACTCCCAGATCCCTTTCCGCGGTACTCCTTCCTAGGCAGTCATTTCCCATTTTGTATGTGTGCAACTGACTGTTCCTTCCTAAGTAGGGTACTTTGCATTTGTCCTTATTGAATTTCATCCTATTTACTTCAGACCATTTCTCCAGTTTGTCCAGATCATTTTGAATTTTAATCCTATCCTCCAAAGCACTTGCAACCCCTCCCAGCTTGGTATCATCCACAAACTTTATAAGTGTGCTCTCTATGCCATTATCTAAATCACTGATGAAGATATTGAACAGAACTGGACCCAGAACTGATCCGTGCGGGACCCCACTCGTTATGCCCTTCCAGCATGACTGTGAACCACTGATTACTCACATGAGCAAGGATATACAGAAGTATGGTCTTCATTATTATTTTAAATGTTCACTCTCAGTCTGACATTGTGTCACATTTCAATGGGGAACAATTTTTTATGGTCAGGTTACAAGATCCTAAAAATGAGACTTGCTATAGTGATATTTAAATAAACAGGATTACTAACAGGCACTTAAGAGAAAAAGAATATTTCAGTTGTAGGCACTGACATTGTTCATAGGGGAGGTGGACCCCAAAAAAGAGATTGAGAGAGTAGAAACCCTCCCTTCTATATGTGATAGTAGCCAAGAAAATGAAGATTCTTCCTTCAAGAATGAGGACCTCCATCATAAAAAGAAAAGGAGTACTTGTGGCACCTTAGAGACTAACCAATTTAGACTGTACAGTATGCATCCAATGAAGTGAGCTGTAGCTCACGAAAGCTTATGCTCAAATAAATTGGTTAGTCTCTAAGGTGCCACAAGTACTCCTTTTCTTTTTGTGAATACAGACTAACAAAGCTGTTACTCTGAGACCTCCATCATGTCAATCACCTTCCAACTGGAGCCTGACAGAAAAGATGAAGCCCAAATTGTACAGACAATGAAACTAAGGAAAAGAAGTGAAGTGACTTGCCAGTGCCAAAACTGCACCTAATCAGCCCAACACCTGCATGTATGCATTCATATTGAAGTTGCACAGGTGCAACTGAGAAAATGAGAGACCCCTATATTTATTCTCTAGATACTTTTAAGACTGCCAATTTGGGAATGACAGTACCTTATAAATGTATTTTATTGGTTTCTGGAAGATTGCAGAGCATCTCACATCCAAAACCCTTCAGTGCAATGAAATGTAAGATCTGAACTGCTAAGGACTCAATTGATAGGGCTAAAGAACATAGCTGACCTCAAGGCCATATAGTTCCAAGGATCAATCCTATAGGATTTGAGTCAGAATGTGTCCAAATTAAAGACAAGTCTTTCTTTCCTCTGCAATTTTAAGTTTCCTAATATCATTACATTCTTCCATAATCAAAGTTAGAATGCCAAGTTTTAATTACATCAGTGAATTACCAAGGACTTGAAGTTTAACAATTTTCTGGGGAACCTAAATTAAATTAATTTGGTTTCAGTCTCATTCCTAGTGGCAAGTTTTCACAACACATGTACCATCACCAAAGCAGATTCTAATTGTCTCCTTCATTGGCAATTTAAGTCCCAGTCTACACTTGTTGGTATAGCAAATAACTCTAGAGGAGTTCTTTTGCCAGTATGGTTTACACCTGTTCCCTGAATAAAATCTACAATAGTTTTTATTAGCATGGCTAGGTCAGTTAAGGGTTAAGGGCATGATTCTTTTTCCAGACTTCTAACTGACATAACTATGCCAGCAAAACTTTCTAGTGCAAACCAGACCTTGGTCAAGAAATCAAAGAATGAACAGGCATGAAGAATAAATGATCCCTTGAAAAATACCCTAGCCAGGTTAGGGATGAGGCATGCAAGAAAGACAGTTGCACTACACACAGGCACTGCAGCTACCCAGGCTGCATGTGTTCTGCAACTTGACGTTTCTGGAGCCTACATTCCTCCATCTACTTGATATCTTTTTCAAGCAATTAAAGTCAGATCATAGTGAGGAAAGAGGACGGACTGTTTTCTTCAAGAATTTATTTAAAAATGTAAAGTATTTTTTCTCCCCAAAACCTTTTCATATTTTAATTCAACTGAAGAAATTTACCCAGCCTATTTCACTGTATAACATGAAGTAAAACTTCTTTCTTGTAAATACAATTGCTGCCCTCAGTTAAACTATCAGCTAACTAAGCAGTATAACTGAGGCCACAAGACTGTGTTCTACATAAGTTTTAATCAAATTCTTGCACTGTCATTGTAGCCCAGGTAAAGTTCCTGCTCAGAGCAGACTCAAATGACACAGTGGTTAAAAAGAATAATTCTGGCAGTTGGCATACACTAGCTATATGTTGCTGATGTTATTTAATATATTAATGAAGCGGAAAAGTGGAAGAAATGCAAGGAGGCAAAATTTAAGATGGTCAAAGTAACTAAGAAGTTATTTTGGATGGGCAAGTATATAGATGATTAAGGAAGTCCAGAGGGCCCTGACAAAGGTGGATGGCAGAGAAAGTTTATTGTTGACACATACAAAGTAACACATATTGGAAGGAATAAATTTGAACCACTCATACAAAATACAGGGTTCTAAATTAACTTTACAAACCCAAACAAAAAGACTCATTGTGGACAAATCAAGGAAAACCTCCCCCAAACGCACAGCAGCAATCATAAATACAAACGAACTGTTAACCTGCATAAAGAATGACAGAAAATAACAACTGGAAATATTACATAAATCAATAGCACAACTCCATTTAGAATATTGTGATCAGTTCTGGTCACGTCATGTCAAAAAAAAAAAAAGGCTTCAAAGAAGTGATGAAAATGATCAAAGGCACAAAAAGAATTTCATATTAAAAAACCTCAAGAGTAACTATTTAGCGATGAAAGAGACAAGGTGGGTGAGGTAATAATTACATTGCATATTTAAAGATGAGACATAAGAGGGGTCATAGAATAAACAGCAAAGAGAAAACAAATAGAAGTAAAAGGTATGTTTCTACATTCACTCCTATACACACCTTCACATAATAAAGGGGGCACTGAACAAAACTGAAAATGCAATCACATTAAAATGAGTAAACTATGTTTTTAAAGGAGACACATTTAGCCTGTCGAACTCATGGCCACATGCTATCGTTTAGGTTACAAAATCACGCGCTGGTACGGTTAGGAGACCATCCAGATTAGACCCAACTTAAAATCCTTATTTAAAGGGGACACAGACGCTGATTCTGCAGTGCACCAGAAGCTCGCAGCTGGAAGCCCCGCGGGCCGCTCACCCTGATGCACTGAATTGTAAGAAACAAATGCAGAAACAATTTGTATCCTGGGGGTGCTGAAAGCCCCAGAACCAAACTGAAAAGCCTGTCTATGATGGAAACCACTTGAACGCAAGGGGTGCTCGTGCACCCCTAGGTCTGGCACCTATGACTGAGGGGGTTGTTCCCGGCACTGCCCCCCGCCCCAGGACCCCTGAATCGGCGCCACCCCATTGCCCCACCCTCAGGCAACGTGCCCGCCGGCCTCGGTCCCAGTACGGATCCCACCGGGCAGCGGGGCCAGGTGGGAGCGGACAGGAGCCCAGAGGCCACGGGGCTGGGGGGTAGGGAACACGGCATTGCTGCCAGCCCTTACCTGGGGCAGGCGCGGGCCCTGCCGCTGGCACCAGCTTCCACATCCCCAGGCGGGGGAGACCTCCGACCTCCTCAGCTGGCACCGTCCGGTCCGCAATCCGCGGCCGTGTCCCGGGGCGCGCTCCCGCGCGGAGAGAACCAAGACTCGCTGAGGCACGGGGCTTGCAGCGCCACCTGTCGCCTGGGAGGGGAATAACGGCTACTTCGGCCGGCTGACTGCGCGCAGGCGCGGCGACTGGACGGACGCAGGTGGGGGCGGAAGAGGTTGCACTGCGGCCAGCCAGAGTATGGGTGGGGGTAGGGGAGGCTGCACTGTTGCCAGCTGGGAGTCCGGGCGTGGTTGGTGGTACAGTAACACATAACGTACTCTCATCAATCAGCAACTGCACTGTTGCCAGCTCAAGGTCAGGACAGTCGTGGGGGGAAGGAGGGGACGCTGCACTGCTTCCAGCTCACCTACCTTATTCAGAGTTATAAAGAGACTTGCTATAAATGATTCTTTGAATTAAGTATTGGAATTTCGAATATGATTATTACTATTAAAACACTTATGAGAGGGGCTCAGAGGTCTGGGCATGGATCCTTTCTCCTCTGCTCTGGGACACTAGTTTGAATTGCATCCATTAGCTAGTGTCTGACTGGGTCTCTGATAGCACATATGCAATGAGGTTGGAGTTCCTGTCTAGTTCCTAGCAGTGAGGCATCCTGATCACAATACCAGCCTAACAATTTTTTTTTTAATGTGAATGTTTATAAACAATACCAGAGCTTCCATCCAATGCATTGGGCAGCCTTGATAATCCTTATATATTGACATTTCAGTTTCCGCAAACCAAATCAACCCAACATCTACATAAATATAATAGAAATTAATAACCCCACCTACCCTGCATGTGCACAAACACACACAGAGACTATCCTCAGAGTCCCATCTCTACCAGCTCTACCAAACACCTTACAGGCAACATTACAGGGGGGAAAGATGAGCCTTGCAGCACATTCTGAGTAACAAACTCAACTATCAGGGAGCTGGAGAGGACGTTGTGTTCCCAGATCTGAGGTCCTATGGAAGAACATCCTGCCAACTGTCATTACTAGGCACAGACATGTAGTCTTGGGGGTAGGACAGACTGACAGCCATTACAGGGGAATATCAACAAAGTATAGTGCACTCCTTTTATAAGAATCACATCCGTCCCAGATGATTTGATTCTTACAAGCGGAGAATAGGTTAGTATTGGAATGATTTTATCCCAGTGGTTTTGATCTTCCTCAATGGCTTTAAGCCATTGTGATCCACTTTCAGAGGCTTCCTACTTTTGCTATATTTAAAGAATCATTTGTTGTTTGTTTTTACACCTTTAGCTGTTTACTCCTCAAAATCCTTCTTGTCCTCTTAGTTGTGGCTTGCTATGATTTATGCTGCTGTTTATTGGCTTCACTAGGTTCAGATATCCAAATTTAGAAGGATATCTGTTTGGCTTGAATAGTCTCTTAAACTTTCCCGTTTAGTAATATTAGTTTACTCCTGGGCTACTGAGACTCTATTTTTTGTTTCTTTGTTTGTTTTTTAAGTATTTTACTTTCTTTAGTTTTAACTTCAAGGACTTTTTTGACTGACTTCATTTTTTTGAAATCTCCTTTCTGAAATTTGGTGTCACTGTGTCACTTTTGCAAAAAGAAAAGGAGTACTTGTGGCACCTTAGAGACTAACCAATTTATTTGACCGTGAGCTACAGCTCACTTCATCAGATGTTTACCGTGGAAACTGCAGCAGACTTTATATACACACAGAGAATATGAAACAATACCTCCTCCCACCCCACTGTCCTGCTGGTAATAGCTTATCTAAAGTGATCAACAGGTGGGCCATTTCCAGCACAAATCCAGGTTTTCTCACCCTCCACCCCCCCACACAAATTCACTCTCCTGCTGGTGATAGCCCATCCAAAGTGACAACTCTTTACATAGTCAAGTCGGGCTATTTCCTGCATAGATCCAGGTTTTCTCACATCCCCCCCACCCCCATACACACACAAACTCACTCTCCTGCTGGTAATAGCTCATCTAAACTGACCACTCTCCAAGTTTAAATCCAAGTTAAACCAGAACATCTGGGGGGGGGGGTAGGAAAAAACAAGAGGAAACAGGCTACCTTGTTTTTCACTTTTGGGTACCCTATTTGCTCCTTGGATGTTGGATCTAATTATTGTGTGATCACTGTTCGTGGCTCAGCTACTGTCGCTTCTTGAATTAACTCTAGAACTAGCTGCTCCAAGAAACAATCACTGAAGTGTCCCAAGAAATTGTTTCTCTAGGCTTTTCCTTTTCTTGATCTAGGGGCTAGTAGTAGACCTGTACTAATATGTTTACAGCTTGGGATTTGTACCCATATAGAATGGATGCATAGTGAGTGGCCCTCTCTTTTTAATTCTCTAGATTTTATGGAATCCTTTAGATAGAGCACTCCTCCCATACATCTTTGGCTTAGCCTGGCATTCATGTATAGTTTGTAACCAAGTATTACAGTATCCTGTTACTTTTTGTCATGCCACCAAGTTTCCATAATGCTAATTATATCAAGGTCTTTGTCCATTGCAATGCATTCTAGCTCACCTATACTTCACAATAGGGTGGGACTCCTTGATTCTTGCAAGTACAATTACAGCATTTGACTTGAAAGAAAGGAGTAGAGCCACTGAAGAATGATTCAATTAACCCTTATTCCAACATATAGGGCTCGTCTACCCTTGAAACCCTTAAGTAGCACTGTAGCACTTCAGTGCAGACACTACCTATGCTGACATTCTGCCATAGGCATAGGTAATCCATCTCTCCAAGGCGCGGTAACCAGGTCAATCGAAGAATTCTTCCATCAATCTAGTGCTGTCTACACAGGGATTTAGGTTGGTTTAACTACATTGTTCAGGGGAGTGTATTTTTCACGTCCCTGAGTTATGCAGTTGGGTTGATCAAATTTTCTAGTGTAGATCAGCCCATAGTCAATGGTATCAAATATAGGTGACATATTTAAAGGAACAAGTGTGGATACCTTATCTTTTTCTGTGATTAGATCAGCAAATGCACTTTCTTTAACATACCCAGACTGAGTAGGGTCAAGGAGATTTGAGAATCCCAGATTCTAAAAAAATTGATTTGCCATAACCTTCCCAGTTATTTTTCTCAATAACTGATGTGAAACAGGTAAAAAGTTGGCAAGATTGAGAACCCCTGACAACTTGCATGATCTCAGGGAGGCACTGATAGTCTCCTGTGAGAACTGACCCAATGTTTTCTTACTGCCTACTCAAGTTTAATATGAGAGATACAAGGTAGGTGAGATATTTTTTACTGGAAGAAGATGAGCTATGTGTAAGCTCAAAAACTTGTCTCTCTCTCACTAACAGAAGTTGGTCCTGTCATAAATATAAAGGGAAGGGTAAACACCTTTAAAATCCCTCCTGGCCAGAGGAAAAACCCTTTCACTTGTAAAGGGTTAAGAAGCTAAGATAACCTCGCTGGCACCTGACCAAAATGACCAATGAGGAGACAAGATACTTTCAAAAGCTGGAGGGAGGGAGAAACAAAGTCTCTCTGTCTGTGTGATGCTTTTGCCGGGAACAGAACAGGAATGGAGTCTTAGAACTTAGTAAGTAATCTAGCTAGATATGCGTTAGATTCTGTTTGTTTAAATGGCTGAGAAAATAAGCTGTGCTGAATGGAATGGATATTCCTGTTTTTGTGTCTTTTTGTAACTTAAGGTTTTGCCTAGAGGGATTCTCTATGTTTTGAATCTAATTACCGTGTAAGGTATTTACCATCCTGATTTTACAGAGGTGATTCTTTTACTTTTTCTTCTATTAAAATTCTTCTTTAAGAAACTGATTGTTTTTTTCATTGTTCTTAAGATCCAAGGGTTTGGGTCTGTGTTCACCTATGCAAATTGGTGAGGATTTTTATCAAGCCTTCTCCAGGAAAGGGGGTGTAGGGTTTGGGGAGGATTTTGGGGGGGAAAGACGTTTCCAATCGGGCTCTTTCCCGGTTATATATCTGTTAGACGTTTGGTGGTGGCAGCAATAAAAGTCCAAGGGAAAAAGGAAAAGAGTTTGTACCTTGGGGAAGTTTCAACATAAGCTAGTAAAAATAAGCTTAGACGGTTTTCATGCAGGTCCCCACATCTGTACCCTAGAGTTCAGAGTGGGGAAGGAACCTTGACAGGTCCAATAAAAGATATTACCTTCCCCATCTTCTCTCTCTCTCTCTCATAGCCTGGAACCAACAAGGCTGCTACAACACTGCACACCCGTCGTGCAGGACAATCAATTGGCTTTCTTGTCAGCAAATTCTGCCCCTTACAATGGGTGGGAGCAAGAGACGGTACTACGTCTGTCTGGATGAAATCAATAGGGCCCTGCAAATCGGCGGATATCCACTTTATTTCCATGCACAGTACCATGTTGCTGCAGATCATGGATCAGATACAGATATTGATTTTGTATCCGCACTGGGCTCTAGAAATCAGCTATTCAGAGGAAAAGGAGCCACTTTGGCTGCCCCACCAAAATATCCACTGCTGCAGGGGTGGAAGGAGAACAGGTCACCGCAGGCTGAGGCTCAGCCTGTGCCTATATCCGAGAATCGTGTCTGTGTGTGGACAGGGTTGGGAGTGGCCAGACAGGCAAACACGAGGCTGATCCAACTGGCTCAGGCTCCTGCCAGCTACTTGGGCACCGCGGGCGCTTAAATGGGTAACAACATTTAACCAATGAATAAGAATTATGGGTGAGGGGTAAAAACGGGCGTGCGCGGCCAGTCCCCGCGACCCCGAAGCGGCTTTGGGGTGGGGGCTTCGGGTGAGTGAGGCGCGCGCAGCCCCAGCGAGGGGAAGCTCCGCCCTGGTGCGAGCAAGCAAGCGGCTCTCCCTCCTTGCCCCCGCCCCCGCAGGAGACAGGAGACCAGAGGGGGCGGGGCCAGGGCAGAGCTCAAGCCCCGCCTTTACCACATGCGCCGTCGGTCCCAGCGAGGAGCTGGGCCGAAGTCTGGTAGTTTGGCGGAGGCCGGGGGAGCGGCAGCGGCAGCGCGGTGGCCATGGCGCTCCGGGCGGGGTGGTGCGGCCTCTGGGGTGGTGCGGCCGCGCGCTTCCTTCCCACGACGCGGGTAAGGCGCCCCCCTCCCAGCCCCTGCGGAGCTGCCGGCCGGCCGGGGAGTCGCTGTTCCGCCCCTCCCTCCCTGTCGACCCAGCTGGCCCGTATCACCCCGCGCCTCTGCCGGAGTACAGCGTATCCCCCCCTCGTCCTGCACCCCCAGGCTGCCCCCCTGGCCCGGGCCCGGCGTGTCCGGTCCCCCTCCTTCGTCCGCACCCCAGGTCCGGGGTCCCCCCTCGTCCCACCCCCAGGGCCCGGGCGGGTTTCCCCTCGTCCCCACCCCGCCCCTGGGCCGGTCCTCCCCCCTTCGTCCCGCACCCCGCTGCCCCTGGGCCCGCCCTCCCCCCTTCGTCCCGCACCCCGGGCTGCCCCCTCGGCCGGCTTCCTCCCCCCTTCGTCCCACCCCGGGCGCCCTGGCCCGGGCCCGGCGTGTCCGGTCCCCCCCTTCGTCCCGCACCCCCGGGCTGCCGCCCGGGCCCGGGCCCGGCGTGTCCGGTCCCCCCCCCTTCGTCCCGCACCCCCGGGCTGCCGCCCGGGCCCGGGCCCGGCGTGTCCGGTCCCCCCACTTCGTCCCGCACCCCCGGGCTGCCGCCCGGGCCCGGGCCCGGCGTGTCCGGTCCCCCCACTTCGTCCCGCACCCCCGGGCTGCCGCCGGGCCCGGGCCCGGCGTGTCCGGTCCCCCCCTTCGTCCCGCACCCCCGGGCTGCCGCCCGGGCCCGGCGTGTCCGGTCCCCCCTCTTCGTCCCGCACCCCCGGGCTGCCGCCCGGGCCCGGGCCCGGCGTGTCCGGTCCCCCCTCTTCGTCCCGCACCCCCGGGCTGCCCCCTGGCCCGGGCCCCGGCGTGTCCGGTCCCCCCCTTGGTCCCGCACCTCCGGGCTGCCCCCTGGCCCGGGCCCCGGCGTGTCCGGTCCCCCCCCTTGGTCCCGCACCTCCGGGCTGCCCCCCTGGCCCGGGCCCCGGCGTGTCCGGTCCCCCCCCTTGGTCCCGCACCTCCGGGCTGCCCCCCTGGCCCGGGCCCCGGCGTGTCCGGTCCCCCCCTCTTCGTCCCGCACCTCTGGGCTGCCCTCCTGGCTGCCCCCGTGTCCGGTCCCGCCCTTCGTCTCGCACCTCCGGGCTGCCCCCCTGGCCCGGGCCCCATCGTGTCCGGTCCCCCCCCCTTCGTCCCGCACCCCCGGGCTGCCCCCTGGCCCGGGCCCATCGTGTCCGGTCCCCCCCCCCTTCGTCCCGCACCCCGGGCTGCCCCTTTGGCCCGGGCCCGCCGTGTCCGGTCCCCCCCCCCTTCGTCCCGCACCCCCGGGCGGCCCCTCTGGCCCGGGCCCGGCGTGTCCGGTCCCGCACCCCGGGCGGCCCCTCTGGCCCGGGCCCGGCGTGTCCGGTCCCGCACCCCGGGCGGCCCCCTGGCCCGGGCCCGGCGTGTCCGGTCCCGCACCCCGGGCGGCCCCTGGCGGGCCGGCGTGTCCGGTCCGCACCCCGGGCGGCCCTGGCCCGGGCCCGGCGTGTCGGTCCCGCACCCCGGGCGGCCCCCGGGCCCGGGCCGCGTGTCGGTCCCGCACCCCGGGGCGCCGGCCCGGGCCCGGGTGTCCGTCCCGCACCCGGCCCCGGCCCGGGCCGGTTCCTCCCGCACGGGCCCCCGGCCGGCCGGTGTGGTCCCGCACCCCGGGCGGCCCCGCCCGGGCCCGGCGTGTCGGTCCCGCACCCCGGCGCCCCGGGCCCGGGCCCGGCGTTCGGTCCCGCACCCCCGGGGCCCCCGGCCCGGGCCCGCGTGTCTCCCGCACCCCGGCGCCCCGGCCCGGGCCCGCGTTCCGTCCCGCACCCGGCGCCCCCGCCGGCCCGCGTTCTCCCGCACCCGGCCCCCGGGGCCGCTTCTCCCCACCCCGGGCGCCCCCGGGCCGGGCCCGCGTGTCGTCCCGCACCCCGGGCCCCGGCGGCGGTGGGTCCCGCACCCCGGGCGCGGCCGGGCGGCGTGTCGGTCCCGCACCCCGGGCGGCCCCCCGGGCCCGGGCCCGGCGTGTCCGGTCCCGCACCCCGGGCGGCCCCCCGGGCCCGGGCCCGGCGTGTCCGGTCCCGCACCCCCGGGCGGCCCCTCTGGCCCGGGCCCGGCGTGTCCGGTCCCGCACCCCCGGGCGGCCCCCCGGGCCCGGGCCCGGCGTGTCCGGTCCCGCACCCCCGGGCGGCCCCCGGGCCCGGGCCCGGCGTGTCCGGTCCCGCACCCCCGGGCGGCCCCCCGGGCCCGGGCCCGGCGTGTCCGGTCCCGCACCCCCGGGCGGCCCCCCGGGCCCGGGCCCGGCGTGTCCGGTCCCGCACCCCGGGCGGCCCCCGGGCCCGGGCCCGGCGTGTCCGGTCCCGCACCCCCGGGCGGCCCCCCGGGCCCGGGCCCGGCGTGTCCGGTCCCGCACCCCCGGGCGGCCCCCCGGCCCGGGCCCGGCGTGTAACGCCCCCTCCGCTGGCACACACATGGTACCCCCATAGCTAGGGAACAGTGTACCCTTACTGTCTTCTGGCACACGCATGCTGCCATTATGGCTGAGGCATGAGGTGACCCATTCCCATCTTCCAGTTTCCTTCCCCACAGGGCTCACAATGTAACTATTCCAGGAACCAGCATAACCCATCTTATCTCCCCTCCCTCTGGATGCAGTGCTAACCCTTGCTCCTGTAAAATACAGTGACATTCAGCATTGCCTGCCCCACCAAGTGTTTAAAATAATCATGAGATTTACTTATAATAATGACATTTTAAATCAGTTGTGGTTTATTTTTATTTATCTTTTGATTTCTTAGTCTTTAGGATGCACTTGCTTAATTGTTTCAAGTTTTCCTCTGTCACCTTGAGGGCTAGAAATTTACTTTTTAATTAAAGTTGGGATTCTCATGTAATGTCTTTATTTCAGTAGCTAGGGCTTTAGAAAAAATGCCAACAGATATCATGAAACTTGTAATAAAATTTTTAGAGTTAACAACACTGGAAGCCCACTCTGTTTCTCCCCTCTCTCCTCTAGGAACACAGTGAAAGCCATGCATCCAATGAAGTGAGCTGTTTCTCACGAAAGCTTATGCTCAAATGAATTGGTTAGTCTCTAAGGTGCCACAAGTACTCCTTTTTCTTTTTGCGGATACAGACTAACTAGGCTGCTACTCTGAAATCTACATACCCAGTATAACTTCTTTAGGCAGAGTCACCTTCACCTCACCATACATAATGGTGTAATTTCTATCCTCCTCCCCCCAAGCATTCAGTGGAACCTTCCCTTCTCTAGCTGGATAAATATTGTAGGTGCACAGCAAGCCTTTTACCAACCTTTGGTCTTGGGAGCAGTACTGTTCAATACAGTTTAACTAAAATAGCTTACATTTTACAGTCAGAGCAACAAAATAAATTGGTCTGTTTACTTATGGTACCTTTGCAGACCGTGTTTTGGAAGAGTTTTGTCCAGACACAGCACTTACGGGTCAGAGAAGACTTGCTGTGTTATTCCTACAAGTGGGAGTAATGTTATGATTTCTCTCCCCTCCTCCTTCAGTTACCTAGTTTATTTTTAGCTTGTTCCTGGGCATGTTTTCAGTTTAGTTTGATCCCTAACCCATGTTTACATGTGGGTTGTTTTTGTACTGATGTTGTTGCACACTGGTGGAAACTACTTAATGTAGACAACATTGCATGCACCCATGTAAAAAGTGACTTGTATCAGTGCAGTTTTCCTCAGTTTGAAAATGGGCTATCTGCATGCAAATTATGGTGTATACAATTGCAGCGCCTCTACGCTAGCGGCTGGCACCCGTGTCCCGACATAGAACTGAGTATTAGATTTTTTTCGTTGTGGTTTGTGACAATTCCCACTACTGTGACTCCTCTGAACAACTTTGCTGCTCTTGTCCTATAATGAGCCCGTTCTGTTCTCCTGCCCCCAGAAATCAGCTGTATGTTTGTCTGACTTTCACTTATACATATTTTTTGCTGCTGTGTTCAGTCCTTTACTCTTTTGACTCTAATTTGTTTCTGTGCCACAGTTAGAATTCCAGTGTTGTACCTGGGACGCTGTGTTATCCTTTGACTCTCCAGATCAGCTGTCCATTCACAGAGGGTCTGTGCTGTAACTGCTCAGCCCCTTCTGTAATGTGCTAAGTATCTTGCAAGATCAGAATAGGTAAGGCCAGCTCTTGACTAAGGCCTGGTCTACACTGGGGATCGATCTAAGATTCGCAACTTCAGTTATGAGAATAGCGTAGCTGAAGTCGATGTCGACTTAGAATCACTTACTTCACATCCTTGCAGCGCAGGATCGACGGCTGCCGCTCCCTGGTCGACTCCACTTCCGCCTCTTGCCATGGTGGAGTTCCGGAGTTGACGGCAGAGCGATCGGGGATTGATTTATTGTGTCTACACTAGACGTGATAAATCGATCCCTGATAGATCGATCACTGCCTGCTGAGGAAAATATACAGCTGCTCATGCATCCTGCCCTCTTTTAATTTAGCTGTTTTTTCTTTGTTAGCCTTGCTTGCAAGTCTCACTTGAAGAACCAATCAGATCTCTATAGAACAGTTATATAAAAGTGCCTATGAGTCTATGTATCCCCTAAAAATTCTGCACATAGTTTTAAAACCATAAATGTATTACTGCATTTAAGTAAAGAAAGAAAAATACGTTTATTATTTTATTTTGTGGCAAATGTGTACACGTGATTTGTCAATTTATCAAGCAAATAGTAATTTTACTCTTTCAATGCACTTTACCAAGGTGGATTATTTCTATTTTAAAGACTGTACGGCTGAGATACAGACATTAAGTTACTTGCTAATGGTCATATAATGAGTCAGTAGCAGGCGTGGAATAAAAATCCTGGGCTCCTGATTTCACGTGGTGCTAGCATTCATAAGTAACTACATAGATGTATAACTGACCTTTTGGACATAAGCAGTTACTGCAATTGTATGTGGGCTTGCATGGAGCAGTTCTAAAAATTGGGCCCAGTAAGACTTGAAAGTCCCATATACATTTGGTTGGGAGCTGAGATTCTGAAACCATCAAACCAATTACTCTTTCTGTTTGGCTGGCAAGCCTGGATGTGGCCAAAGTATATTAAACCTGTGTTCTGAATGTGCCCACTCTCCCAGTTTTGTTTTCTCCCAGTCTACTTGCCTTTCATTTTCCCATCTTCACATTTTCTCTGAAATTCCTTTTTAAAATTCAACTAGTCTAGTTTTATTTCTCTTTCCTTCAGCCTGGAAAAAGATTCATGGTCAAAATGTCACTTCTTATGTTCTGTTCCTAGGGTATATATATTAGGTTAGGTTTTGAGCATCTCACTTAGCTTTTTGTAACCAAGATATATAAAAGGAAATGAGAAAAGTGGTAATTGAAGGTAGTTTGTGAGGTAGACAATATGAGCGTTTTAAAGCTGTGGAGTTCATAAGGAAAGAAAAAAAGAGCCTTTGCTAGCATTATTTTTGAAATAATTTCTTCCAGAAAAAGTTTAAGAATTGACAGTGCCTCCGATGAAAATCTGGTATTGATTAGAAAAAATATAAAAAATAAGTCTGTGTACGGGGTTATTCTGTTACAGCTCTGATTACCAGGATTTTGGTGCTTCAGAAAACACGTGGTCTGGGAAATTCTTATTGATTCTCAATTGATTCTGAACAAAATCTTGATCTGAGTTTCTTGAATTTCTCTAATATATTTTAGTTGACAACTTCTGTATAGTGTAAATGGCCCAAACTGGCTTCTTCAAATCATATTGGGAGCTTATATTTAAAAGGATCTATTACAAATAAAAAATTAGTAACATTAGCAAGAAAGTATTATTTTAGATTGTTATTAATGTCTGTATAAAAATAAAATACTTTTAATCATTCATGATTTTTTTTGTTCTGTATTCAGAATATAGAAATAAACCAGTTATTTTCACTTATTAATGATTTTACATTAGCCCAATGCTGCACTCTTTGGATTGTAAAAATATGTAGGTGGAAAATGTGGAATATTCAAATTCAAGCATACCCATTTTTGATAATATTTTAAGCACTATTTCTAAAACATTCCTATAGTACTAGGTTTCATAAAACCTGTTTTATATGAAACCTACAGATCGTGAAACAAACCCATCTGTGTCTCTCCCTTTAAACATCGGTTTAAAAGTGAACAAATCCCTTACATGTTATACTCCTGGGGGAATTCTGTGTCACAGTTCGTTCACAGAATTAATGTCCTCTGCAGATTTCTTTCCTTCCCCATAGAAAATTATGACTTCTGACAGGGAAGCAAAGGGAAGACACAGGACTGGTCACACATCCCTCCCTGGAGGTGCAGGCAGGTTAGTTTGGGTCCCCAGAGCAGCCAGTAGAGATGTAAATCACCGTTTGGGTGGGGGGGGGGGGTGATGGACTGGGCAGTTTTAATTTTTTCGCGCAGAATTCCCCAGGAGTAATATTAGAGATAATGGATAAATATTAAGTACATTTGTCTATGGAATAAGAGGGCATATGCTTACCATTTGTTGTTGAGTGGAATGGACAAGAGAATAATCAGGTCTGTAATTGGTCTTCCTGAAGTTGAGAAACCACAAAAGTCAGATGAGAGAACGCGAATGTAATGTAATGCATAGTATATTGCTGTGAGTGCCGCTACAATGAACCCTTCGCTACATTGTAATATATACTGAAAATGAAGATTTTCCAAGAACATTATATTATATATGGGTTTGTGTGCCACACTCCTCATCACAGTAGTATCTGATCACTTTCCAGTGGTGCATTTAGTGATGTAACTACCATCTGCCATGTATTGTGTGTGCTCCCCAGAGGGAGAAATGCATACAGTGGAGAGTCTTATTTTACTAGGATGTTTTTAATATACATGTTGCTATGTATTTATGTTAGCTTAGGCAAGGTCAAAGAAATGTGGTGAGGTTTGTGATGGTCCTTAGTTCCTGGGGGGAGTTCATTCCACAGTCTCAGTCTGGCCCCCAAGAAAGTTACGTGTCTCACACAAACGAGCTTTATCTTCTTTGTAGAGAGTTCCATTGTGTCAGAGGAGTGAAGTTGTTGACCACAGTCTTCATCTTGGAGATATCCTGGGCCCAAATCATGGAGTGTCTTGAAGATAAGGTCTGAAACCTTGAACTCGATTTGAGATTTTAAGGGTAGTATAGGTTTTAATTTATTTGTAGTAGCCTATATTACTGAGCAGATGTATTACAGCTTTCTATAGCAGGAGTTTCCTGAGCACTGGAGGTTTCATGCCCAGGTATTATTCATTGCCGTAATCCAGCCAAGAGATCATGAAAGTATGAATAACTGAGGCCAGGTCATTGTCCACCAGAATGGGACACAACCAACTGGAGATGGCAAGAAAATGTTATTTGTGAATGCTGCTATGTGAAAATTTAGTATCAGCAAGCAATCTAAAAGTACTCCTAAACATCAGACTGAATTGAGCAATGGTGGGTATATACCTTCAACCAAAGGAGACTTCACCATGGCTGAAAACTCTTGAAAATATTTTCTTTTGCTCACTAGCATCACCTCTGCTATGCTCAGTGGAGGTGCAGTTTCCTATCCGTACTCATTGGATGTGTCCCTCCAAGAAGGATTTAAACTGTTTTAGTGCATTACCCTGGACTTCTGCCACCCCTCTAAGGTGAGACAGGAGTATCTTATTGTCAACAATGTTGAATTCTGCAGAGAGGTCCTATAGGATGAGAATAGATGTTCTGTCCTTTCCATTGACAGGAGATCAGTGCCGCTAAAGCAATTTCAGTTCCATGGCCTGGCCTGAATCCAGATTGTGCTGTGTCTAGAATATTAGCTTCAATTAGATGAGGTTGTAGTTGGCCTTTAGCTAGCTTCTCTGTGAGTTTGCTTGGGGGGGTGGGAGATTTAACGCTGGGCAGTAGTTGGCTAGAACTGATGTGTCCAGGGTAGGTTTCTTCAGTGTTGGTTGGACTGTTGCGTGTTTGACGTAGGAAGGAAAGATTCCTTTTCTGAATGAGACATTGACTTATTTCAGTCAGGGATGGTACTAGTTGATGTTGGCTCTTTCACAAGCCAGGAAGATCATGGGTTGGATTCACAAGTTTCAGGTTGACACTCATGTAATGTCCGAACTTCTCGATGAGTGAATATACCGAACTCTAGGAATGCAGGTGGTGATAGGTGGAGTGGATCCAGGCCATTTGAGAAGGCTTCCTGAATGTGCGTGATCTTTCCAATGAGATAAGATGATTTTTTGGTGTTCGGCTCTGATGCAGGTTGCAGACTCTTCGGATTGAGAAGTGAGTGGTGAAAATGTCATTCTATGCAAAAAAGCATTTGACTTTTATTATCTTCATGAAAAGTTCTGGTGGTGGATGGCAATCAGATAGTAAAACTGTCTTTGATATGGGAAAAGATTATTGTAGTTTGGTCAATTCATTGTGTATGGGGGGGAAAAAAGAGAAAAATACCATGCCAAAATAAACAACTAGTAAACAGCTAACTGAAAAAGCAAAACATTAACTTATATAATTACAAAAATATTTCCACAAGCTCTGCTGTGGAGGAGTTCTAAATTTTTATATTATTTACCAGGCAGACTGCAAACTGTCCCAGAGTATTTACTTTAGTATGTAATCTAGATTTTCATGATAAGTGTGCAGACATTTTCTGCCACAGACTCTCTTTATAGTGTTGAATTCTTTTCTATGCCTCACTATGTTCTTTTTTACTTGTTACTTCAATTACCAGGTTCACTTCAGGAATGTAAGATTTCCTTTTTCTTTAAAACAACTTTATAACCAAGTAAAGACACTTTTTCTTCTGGTCAGAACCAGGGTGGATTTTATTTAAATCATGATTTAAAGTGCCTCGATTTAAAAGACTCGATTTATTCATGGATTTCTGGTTGTTATAACTTTCATACATATTCTTCACAACTCAGAGATAGATGTAGGTTTCACCTTTTAGAAGGTACACACTATATATTTTTAAAGTGATTTATTTTGAAAACTTTTCATATTAGTTTTACAGCTATATCGGAAAATGAAAGATTGTTTGGTTATTTCATTTACCAAAGGTAATTGAAGCAGATATTTATGAAGTCATCGGGAGTGAACCTATCTCCAATTCAACAGGTTGATCATATTAATATTTGGAGGATTTTCTTGCCATGATGTATTAGGAGGAGAACATCACCAGACGGACATTTAAATTGTTTTATTTAACTATTTCTCACCTCTATATATTATTTATTTAAAAACATTTTTGCTGTTTACAAGCATGTTATCTCTGGAGACACAAATCCACAGTTTGAAAACTGCAAAACTAAACATCTCTGATGGTATCTTCTAGACTGAGCACTGAGTCCCAATGGGTAGATAGATTAATCTAAATAATCTACACAGAAGCCCCTGGAACCTCCATAAGATTGGGTCCCTAATCCATGAACTATTGGAACTCATTTACAAAACTTTTCTTAAACATTACATGAATATAGAATAGAATTAGAGTTTATAATCCCTATTCCATGATGAGATATCTTTGAGCTATAATGTATCTTAATTAAAACTATCTTTAGATTGCTTTTTCCTCAAAAAGCATTTTATCCAAAAATCCGATTTAAATACAAAAAAATAATTGATTTTTATCTGCCCTGGTCAGAACCAGTCTTACGGAAAGTCTTGAAAGCATTGCTGCTGACGCAGGTTACAGCTGTCATCTAACCTCTGACATGGACTAATTGAGAGGGCAATTTTAGTTTCCATTTGTAGGTCCAGGAGCAACCAATGTGGTTCTGTCCCCATTGGCCAGCACCACGCAATTTTAAGGCTAACCTGAGCCCCAGTTGACGTTCTTCATGCTCCCTGTGATAGGGAGATAGCAGGCAACTTACACCATTTCAACCTCCCCTTGATAGTTTTCCTGCCATCTGGGTTACATAAGACTGGCATAACCCTGGCCATGTTTCTCTTATCTACTCCAATGCAGAGGCTTGAAATTCAGGAGATTATTGGGCATAGTATAGGGTCTCGCATAAAGGGTCCCCAATCCTGATTTGGGACTTCTGAGTATCACTGTAAAGTGGATTCATATTACTGAAGTGCAGTTATAACCATAGTCCATTTTAATTGATGTTTGTTGGTTACTGAAGCGTTAAGCGTTGCCATGGATAACATGAGGTTCAGCACAAGAATTAATTTTCTAATTTAAACTGTTTTGATTTTTATATTTTAAAAAACTGAGTATTTGAGGGTTTTAAAAAATATTCATTTATTAAAATTAACCAGTTTTAATGTAATTTAATAATGAACATGATATTTATACAAGAACAAGAATTTAATTTCTTTAATTTTCATCTTGAAAACTGGAAATCTACATGCATAGAAGACGGTCAGTCATCATTTATTTCCTTAGTGATGATTAATTTTAAAAATCTACAAGTATTTACAATACATACTTTGTTATACAAATTACTTGAAAAAAATATGTTAAAAGGACATTATTTAGGTTGCAAAAGTTTGAAATGCCAGAATTAAGGTTTCCTATGCAATCTTGTGCATATGCATTATGATTAAGGCTATGAGTTAGTCACGTTCATCACAGATTCTCTGATTTTACATGACCTCTGCAACTTTGGCTGCCGGGGCTCGGGCTTTCGGCCCTCAGGCGTCGGGGCTCAGGCTTCCATGACTTATTGTTTATTGCCTGCGTCCTGTCCATGACTTTTACTAAAAATGCACATGACAAAATCTTAGCTTTAATTATGATATGGCCTTAGGTTGCCCGTCGTCCTCCCCTCCCCCCGATTCCCTGTCTCCACCTGTCTCCTTTCCCTGCCAGTCTCCCCCTACTGGCTCTTCATCTGATCTCAGTTTCTACGCATGCCCCTCCGCCCCGACGGTTCTCTGTATTCTCCCAACCCCATTTCTCTCCCTGGCTCCTTGCCTCCTTCCCCAACCAGTCCTAGCCTACACCCGCGGGCAACCTCCAGTCCTAGTCTCCTGACTCAGGCTCCTTCTCTGAATCTGTTCCCACAGCTGTCCTCCATAATTACTTAGATGTGTTCTTGTCCCCTCTGCATTTGAATCAGATGGCTTCTTCCTCCATGCCACTTGAGTGCCAGCAGGCTGCCTGCTCTCAGTTTTGGTGCCCTGCAGTCCCACCCTAGCTGCTGGAAGCAGCCATTACAGGAGAAGTCCAGCTTTGCTCCTGCAGCCTAGGCTGAAGCATGCTCAGTTGCTCCAGGGGATTGGTTCATGCACAGACCAGTCACATGCAGAATCTGTGAAGGGATGGAGCATATTCAGTTGTTGTGTGGGGCTGGTGCATTTACAGTCCAGTAAAATGTGGGAGCTGTGAGGGGAGGGAGCATGCTTAGCGAGGATGGAATCTTCAGATAGGGTATGTCTACGCTAGCCCTCGGATAGGGTCACTACCCAGCAATAGATCCAGCGTGGGTCGATTTATCGCATCTAGTCTAGACGCGATAAATCGCCTGTCAACTCCTGTACTCCACTGCCGTGAGAGGCGCAGGCGGAGTCGACGGGGGAGCACCAGCAGTCGACTCACTGCTGTGAAGACACCACGGTAAGTCAATCTAAGTACGTCTACTTCAGCTACGTTATTCACGTAGCTGAAGTTGCGTAACTTAGATCGATTTCCCCCCCGCCATCCCCGAGTGTAGACCAGGCCTAAGTTAAGCTCTTTCAAGTCTCTACTGAGCACGTGTGAACTGTGATTTTTCGTGGGCTTATAACTTGGCCAAATTTGCACAGGGGTTGCAAAAAGCACATCCCTGACACAAAGGCCACTCCCCTGCAAAATTTCAAGTCCCTGCTCTAATGTTAAAAATCATATTTTCTCCTAGTCTCATTCTCAGAAATGGTTGAACTGTTTTGGCTGAAAGTTTACAAAAACCTTTTGCTTGAAGCAGACCCCAGCATTGAAATTTTTAGCTCAAACTGTTAAAACTGGCAAAATTTTAAGCAACTCAAAACAGGGTGTTATAATGGTATGTGTCAGACAACTTTAATAATAGGCAGGGATACCTACTTCACCTATAATAAATGTTCTAGTCATAAAAGCCTTACCCATACAAGTAGTTCCATTAACCAGTGGGATTAGTTGTATGGGGCTTGATCCTGTTCCCGTTGAAGCCAATAATGAAAATTCCATTTACTTCAGTGGTGCAGGATCAAGGCCTTGGGTAGCTACTACTGCAGGCCCCAATTTTGCAGACTTATACATGTGCTTATCTTTACATACTACGGGTAGTCCTGCTGACTTAGTGAAGCTACTCACAACGCATATAGTTAAGCGCATGCAGAAGTCTTTGCAGCAGGATCAGGGTCTAAAGCATCACTCCTGCTTTGGGATCTACAGACAGCTGATGGGTCCACACTAATTAATCCCAATGTAGGACTGGGGCATACGTGAGTAATTATTGCAGGACTGGGCACAATGTTCAAAAGAACAAAAATCACTTAACTGTTGAAAAACATTTATTTCATTTGAAAATGTAGAGGAAATTACCGCAGTCTATTAACTTAGCCTAACAATTAAAATTACTTTAATATTCATATTTGTTTAAAAGTATTCACGTATAGTGTGATGCAATAAATATACAATTATTGCTTACAGTGAATTTTTGTCAATTGTGAAAATATTTATTATTATAATTCCAAGACTGAAAACTTAATTTTCTTATGATCGTTGTGGGAATCCATGTATGTAAGCAGTAATAAATAATTTTATTTTTTTGTTTCAGTTTTTCAGTCATGGATCAAATATATTAAGTCAAAGTAACAATGCACCACAAACTAGCTTCTTTCCACCTCTTCAAAAAATGATGTTACCACCAAATGCCTTTCAAGGAAAAGTGGCTTTTGTTACTGGTGGAGGTACTGGGCTTGGCAAAGGAATGACAACAGCTCTGTCCAGTTTAGGTGCCGAATGTGTTATATCAAGCAGGTAAATACTAATAATCAAACCTGAAAAATCTTTTAAAATTTAGTATTGAAAGCTGCATTGATCTGCTTCCCTGTTCCTTCGTAAACAATACATAAAGATACATTTTTTTTATTCATAGCTACAGACATGTAATTTAAATCTGGCTCTTAACCTGCAGTACCATTTTAATTATAATCTGATGTGCTAAATTTTAAAAAGCTGCTCCGAAATATACACAAATAAATATTACATTTAAAATTGTTAGTATTTATGTAAGACCTGTAATGTCTTGTGCTTGACTGCTGCATAGCCTTCAATGAGAAGAAAGTCATGATGGTCCACAAAAAGGAAGTATAGTAAAACAAAAAAAAAGCCAGGTATACTTCACCTCTATTGCAAACTCAATGGGTTGGGAGAAGAGAGGCAAAAAATAAAAATGTAGACAGGAAGGGACCTCGAGAGGTCATCTAGTCCAGCCTCCTGCACTAAGGTAGGACCAAGTATACCTAGTCCATCCCTGACGGGTGTTTGTCCAGCCTGTTCTTAAAATTTTCCAATGACAGGGATTCCACATCTTCCCTTGGAAACCTACTCCAGTGCTTAAGTATCCTTTATGGTTAGAAAGTTTTTCCTAATATCTAATATAAATCTCCCTTGCTGCAGATTTTGCCTGTTCCTTCAGTGGACATGGAGAATAATTGATCACCATCCTCTTTAAAACAGTCCTTAGCATACTTGAAGGCTGTTATCAGGTCCTTACTCAGTCTTCTTAACTCAAGACTAAATATGCCCAGTTTTTTTAACCTTTCTTCGTAGGTCAGGTTTTCTAAGCCTTTTATCAGTTTTGTTGCTCTCCTTTGGTTGATATTGGCCTCATTTGCAACTGCATCACATTAACTATCATTACATTTGTGATCTACTATAAATGCTAGATCTTTTACATCTGTACTACTGCCTAGCCAGTTATTCCCCATTTTATAGTTATGCACTTGATTTGTCTTTCCTAAGTGTAGTACTTTGCACTTGTCTTTATTGAATTTCTTCTTGTTGATTTGAGACCAATTCTCCAATTTGTCCGTCATTTTGAATTCTAATCCTGTCCTCTAAACTGCTAGCAATGCTTCCAACCTGGTATCATCTACATATTTTATAAACATACTCTTTACTCCATTATCCAAATCTTTAATGAAAATTAATGGGGGGACGGATAGCTCAGTGGTTTGAGCCTGCCAAACCCAGGGTTGTGAGTTCAATCCTTGAGGGGGCTATTTAGGGATCTGGGGCAAAAATTGGGGATAGCTCCTGTTTTGAGCAGGGGGTTGGACTAGATGACCTCCTGAGGTCCCTTCCAACCCTGATATTCTATGATATTGACTAGTACCAGACTCAGGACAGACCTTTTCAGGACCTCCACTCGATATGTCCCCCCAGTGTGACAGCAAACTATTGATAACTACTCTTTGAATCAGGGTGGATTTGATTTAGATCACTAGTCAGGAAGACTCGATTTAATCATGGATTTCTACATAAAAATGCATTCTTGCTGGTTGTTATAACCTTAATACATATTCTTCACAACTCCAAGATAGATGTAGGTTTCATTTTTAGAAGGTACACATGATACATTTTTAAAGTGATTTATTTTGAAAACTTTTCAGATTAATTTTACAGCTATATCGGAAAATGAATGATTGGTTATTTCATTTACCAAAGGTAATTGAAGCAGATATTTATGAAGTCTTTGGGAGGTGAACTATCTCCAATTCAACAGGTTAATCATTAATATTTGGAGGATTTTCTTGCCATGCTATATTAGGAGGAGAATATCACCAGACAGACATTTAAATTGTTTTATTTAACTAAACCAGTGTTACGCGTTTTTTCCTTCAACAGAAAACATATTTTAACAAAACAAGCATATGAATTTTTTAATTTAGTTAAACGTTCAAGTTTTTTAAAATCAGGTTTGTTTTTGTTAACATTGTTTTTAACTAAAATAGTTGAATGAAATATTTAAAAAAAAAAAAAGAAGAAAAATTAAATTGACTATGTCAGCCAGGCCACCATGAGAAACTTAAAATATTGGCTTCTGCAGCTATTTCAGTCGTCTTCACCTTCATTGTCCTGTTTGTTCATAATCTGGAAAAGAAAAACAAGCTTTCCTGCTTTTTCAGGTCCCAAACGATTTCTCAGTTTGGAATGAATTAGTCCAAATAAAGAAAATACTCTTTCTGCACCGGCAGAAGAAGCTACTGCTGTTAAAAGTGAGATTATCCACTTCAACAGTCTCTGCATGCAAGTGCTTAAGTGACTTCCACCAATTCACTTGTGTGACTTTCTTTAAAACGTCATCAGCAAACATATATTTCTTGAATGGTTCACCCTTAGCTTTGAAATTTATTATAGTTGGCATTATGGAGGGATGATTGCTGGATGTCCATGTCATAGGCAACTCCTCTTCTTCAGCAGTTAAGGTTTGACCCTTGTACCGAGTATTGAGAATATTTGAAAGAGAATGAGCTGGAGATAGTGCTTGTCCCATTCATTTTTTTAATGCTTGTAATTTAACTCTGTCATTGTGTATTTCTCTTTTTAAGATCTCACTCAGTTCCTTCCGAATTTCAGCAGCATCAGCAATAAAACAGCTATTTCCCTGAATTTTGTTCAAGGCTACAGAAATAGGCTTCAGGATACTCAGCATGTGTTCAGCATTTATCTTAAGCCCAATGTTGAGAATTTTGGCTGTGACAGTGCCATCTATTTTTTCACAATTTTGTTCACAAACTGTCATCTGATTAGGCCAGTTCTTCATATAGTGCTCAAACCAGTCCACTACTGAGTTCCATCGCACGTCTTGTGGGTGGGTTAGCTTGGTTTCTCCCACTTTTTTCAGAGCAGCTGCTGCAAAGTGGTTGTTAGGGAAGTCTTTTGCAATTTCAACAACATTAGCCTTTATTTCTGGAACACTGAAGTCTTTGGCTTGGAGGTGCATCAAATGACTACTGCAACCGTATGTTATTAGCTTGGGACTCTCTTCTGAATAATTTCTTCTCATCTTGGATACATTTGCAGCATTGTCTGTGACCAAACTGCGTACTAGACGTTTGAATTTTTTTCCCCACAGTTTGTTATAGCTTTTACTGCTACTTCTTGTAAGTATTCTGCTGTGTGTGCATTTCCTGATGTATCAATTGTTTCTGTAAGGAAGACATTCCCTTCTTCAGTTGTCACACAAGCATGTACAACAGGATCATTGTGGACATTGTTGCTCCCATCAAGACTCAGGTTAACAATTTCACCCTCTGGACCTTTTGAATTTGCATTTAATTTCTCAATTTCTCTTTCATACACTTTATCCAGCAATTTGCCTGCAACATCTGCTCCGTTGGGTGGACTGTATCCTGGTCTTAATGACTGAACCATGTTACTGAAGTGTGGGTTCTCAATCATACGGAAAGGAGAGTTTGTTGCATAAACAGACTGGGCAATTTTTTCATCAATTACTTCTTTTTGTAATCTGCTGGTTCTTATCACAGATTTATCTATGATAGTTTCTGAATGATGGAGATTTTTTTTTTTTTGCTAGAGGCTATGGCTCCATACTGTGGCTATGTGACATACACGATGTGACTAAAATGCTATCATTGGCAGATAACTCTGAAATGATAGGAAATGATAATGATCTTGAAGGTGGATAGTCTTCAGAATCCTGTATGTTGAGGATGGATTCTCCTAAACAAAATAAGTCAATGCAGTTATTTAATTATTATTTCCATACTGCTTATTTAGTATTACTCATTGCATTCACTGACACTCAGTACTACTTTAAAGGTGAAATTGTAAAAGGAAGATCTGCCTATTTCAGCTATTTGTTTTTTATCACAACTGCATCTAAAGTGATAGTACCATAGAGTAACAACTATATTTTTTTGCTCAAACATGAGAATTCAAGAATAGTCCAGAAGGAAGACAGGCAGTCCTTAAGAAAGAAGTATGAAATAAAAAAGTTAACCAACCTGAAGTTCCTGCATCCTCTTCAACGCAGCTTCTTCCTGAGAAGGAACACTTCTCATGATGTTGTTTCATTCGGGCAACCAGGCCTTGCATTTCTTTGTTGCACTGTTTGCATTTTGCATGCATGCCTGTCTTACCCACTGATAGAGGAACTTCATTAAAATATTCCCAAACTGGGTCTCTCTTACAGCCTGCTGCCATTATAGGTTTCCCCTTCTAGTGAGAGAATGGTATGGTAGATCTCAAATCAATGAAGGCTATACTCAGAAAGATCTCAAGTCTTCTGGAATATGGTGCTCATACAGTTTCACTTTTGTTTCTACTGCCTGTCCCTCCCTACTCACATTTATCTCCAGTCTTCTGCTCCTTCTCCAGATCTATTCCGCCCCCAACAGTTCATTGAACTTTTTGAAACTTTGCACTTCTAGAGAGAGGTAAGGAATTGACACAGTGTACACAAATTTGCTGAGGGACAATAGGTTTGAGGTCTGTTATTTCTCACCTCTATATATGATTTCTTTATTTAAAAAAATTTTGCTGTTAACAAGCATGTTATCTCTGGAGACACAAATCAACAGTTTGAGAACTGCAAAACTAAGCATCTCTGATTGTATCTTCTAGACTGAGCACTGAATCCCATTGGGTAGATAGAAAGATTAACCTCAATAATTCCAGAAGCCCCTGGAATCCCATAAGATTGGGTTCTTAATCCATGAACTGTTGGAACTCAAACTTTTCTTAAACATTACATGAATATAGAATTAGAATTTATAATCCCTATTCTATGATGAGATATCTTTGAGCTATTATGTACCTTATTAAAACTATCTTTAGGTTTTTCCTCAAAAAGCATTTTATCAAAAAAATCTGATTTTAAATTAAGAAACAATTTTTTTCTATTTTTTTTTAAATAATTGATTTTTATCCACCCTGCTTTGAATACAGTCTTTTAACCAGTTGTGCATCTACCTTATATTTATTTCATTTGACTATATTTCCATAGTTTGTTTAGGAGAATGTCATGTGGGACTATCAAAACTCTTATTAAAATAAAGATATATCACATTGCAGCTTCACCCTTATCTATTAGGCCAATAACCCTGTCAAAAAAGGAAATGTAGTTGGTTTGGCATGATTTGTTCTTGACAAATTCACGTTGGCTATTATCCTCTAGATGCTTACAAAATAAGTCAAATTTCTTTTTAAATGGACAGCAATGGCCATTATGATTTTATCATTAGAATTATCTTTCTTATCAAGTTTTTTTTTTTATTATTTCCTATAGCCAATATTTCTTTTAACCATCAGGATTTCTACTGATTTCCAGCATAAGAGCAATTAATCTCATCCATCAAGTTAACATAAACAACCTGTGAAGCTCTTCCAAATAACAAATCAAATACCGTACTTATAACACTTGGTAGGCCTTTCCTTAATATTTTCCCCCCAAAAAATAAGTGAATATATAAAAAGTAATAAAATTAGGGCTCTCAAACGATTAAAAAAATTGTGACTATTTGCGAGATTAAAAAAATTAATTGTGATTCATTGCAGTTTTAATCGCACTGCTAAACAATAATAGAATACCATTTATTTAAATATTTTTTAGATTTTCTGTATTTTCAAAAATAGGCTTGAGGGCTCTGGGCTTCGGCCCCCCCCACCCCCCTCAAGGTGCAGGGCTCCAGGCTCGAATCCCATGTCGGGGCTCCAGGCTCCAGCCTCCAGCCCCAGTCAGGAACTGGGCTTCAGCCGCTCTCACGGCACGGGGCTCCCGCCCAACCGCCACACCCGCCCCCTCCCCTTCAGAGCTCTGGACTGGAGCCCACTCCCCTTCAGCCCACCCGATGCTCTGAGCTGGGGCCGCTGCTGATGCCTCCCTCCCTGCCCAAAGGTATGTGATTAACGTGTTAAAGAAATTAATGTGTTAATTTTGTTTTCAGTTAATCTCCAGCGTTAACTGTGGTTAATTGACAGCCCCAAATAAAATACTTAGTATCATAGAACCATCCACTCTAACACCCTGCCAGTATGCTGTTTAGGTGTCAAATGTGTTATGCAGGATTTGTGTTGTCTAAATCATCCAAGACAGATGGCTATCCAGCCTCCTTTTGAAAAGTCTAATGAAGGAGCTTCCACAACCTCCCTAGGCAGTCTGTTCATTGTCCTACTCTTCTTACAGTTAGGAAGTTTTTCCTGAGATTTAATCTAAATCTGCTATGCTGTAGTTTGAACCTATTGCCTCTAGTCCTGCCCTCTGTGGCAAGAGAATAACTTTTCCCATCTTTTTTATGGCAGCCTTTCGAGTATTTGAAGATCACTGTCATGTCCCTCCTTAATCTCCACTTTTCCAAACTATACATACCCAGTTCCTTCAGTCTTTGCTCATATGGTTTACATTCCATTCCTTTGATCATCTTTGTCATTTGCCTCTGGATCCTTTCCAGTTTCTCTACATCCTTTCTATCCATTAATGACCAAAATTGGACACAGTACTCCATTTGAGGCTTAACCAGTGCTAAGTAGAGCATTACTATCACCTCCCGTGATTTGCATGTTATGCCTCTGTTAATGCAACCTAAAACTGCATTTGCTTTTTTTGCAGCAGCATTGCATTGTTGTGATCCACCATCCCAGATCCTTCTCAGCAGTGCTACTGCCAAGCCAGTTATCCCCTGTTCTATATTTTTGCATTTGGTTTTTCTTCCCTAAGGGTAGCACCTTAAATTTGTCTTTGCTAAATTTCATTGTGCCCAGGATGAAGGCATTTTTTGTTAAATATCACCTGCTGTGTTTTACTATCAACAGTATCTCTTTTTTTTTTTTTAAGTCCCATCGGAGTTGCTTTTAGCTGAAAATATGAGAGAAGATTACTTTGTTGGACATAACTTGGAATTTCTTTAAAGCTCCATTTTACTTGAAAGAGCTTTTTTCAGAAACTGAATTGAAATACCAAGGCCCTAAATTATGTTTATTTCAAAGGTAAATTTTGCACTAAAATCACCAACACACAAATGGCATTCATAGAAAGATTTTAATGTTTCAAAGTGTAATGATTTGTAACATAGATGCATTTAGTGGAAACTCAAGTCATGCTAAAATTTATAATTATTTCTAGGAAGATCGATGTTTTGAAACAAACTGCAGAAGAGATTTCTTCTAAAACAGGAAACAAGGTAAGTTTATGGATAAGTTTGTATTTTTATATTTTTTAATGAATTTTAAAGAATTTTTTTTTATTCTTTATATCATGAGTGATACTTTTATAAAGTCTTACAATTGCCTTTTTCTCCATTAATATATAGGTTCATACAATCCAGTGTGATGTGAGAGACCCAGCTTCAGTTAAGAATGCTGTTGCTGAATTAATCAAGGTGGCAGGACATCCTGATGTAAGTATGATAGTTATGAGGCAAGGACTTCAATCTTCAGTGAAAATACCCTGAGTAGTATGTGGGAACAAAAGTGATATATGGTAGAAAAGCAGCTCTGCATACAGAGACCTGCAGGAAAAAGACAGCTACTAATACAGCAGTAGTGCAGCACAAAACTAGTGTTTTATCTGTTTATCCTAGTTTTCTACAGTGCCTATCCCCATAGTATCTAGCTGGTTTTGTGTAGCTATTGAATGGTTCAGTAGCCAAATGGACCAAATCCTGTCCCCTTACCCATTCAAAAAGTTCCATTGCTATTCGAGTGGAATTACTTGTGTGAGTAAAGCGAGCAGAGTGAAGCCCTACAGGAATTATTTTATTTATCTCTGGACTTATGACAACTGTCACATTACTTTCAGAATGTCTCCCAAATTAAAAGCAGAAATAAGTCTCTCTCTCTTCCTCTCTCTTTCTTCCTTGCCTTTTTTTTTTTTTTGGTGTATACAAAATATACAAAAAAGGTACCTATTTTGAAAACTAACATGTAAAGAAATTACCGATTAAACCTAGCAGGTAAACACTCTCCAATAACCTGCACACAGTCCTCAGCAACTCACTGTCAGCTAAACAAATCAGAACTCTACTCACAAAATGTCAACTTCCATATAGCCAGAGTAAAAAGATAAGCCTTTCCCTGTGCCCAGAAGGTGAACAAATAAGGCTATTTTGGACCAAAGCTAAGGGAGCTGGTTCCAAAGCGAAGGGCTTCTCACAGAGGACTCTTTACCCCCAGTCCCTCTCTTTTAAGTCCAGAGGTATCCAGCTGTCGCATTATGGAAGAGGGAGATGGGCAGTGTCTCAAGTAGACAGGTCCCAAGGTGGTTAGAGTTGTAGGAGAACTAGCCTGTTCAGTTTTGGGAGACAGGGCACATATGTCAGGCTGGCACTTAAAAGGGCTTTGCCAGTGTAGCTGTAGTGGTATTCCATATCAAAGCACTTCAAGTGTGGACACAGCTTAAACTGGCAAAACTGTGCTTTTGCCAGTATAGCTTAATGCAGTGTATAGGGCCATCAGAGGGCAGAACTTGGGGGAGAGAGATAACAAAAGCCCAAGGAAGGAAGGAAGGCAATAACTTGGCAAGAGAACAGAGTAGGGGATGTAAAGGAGAGGTCAGAGGACAAAAATGGGGTAAAGTGGAGGAGGGAGACAGCATGGGCTAGAAGTCAGGAAAAAATCCCACCAGAAGCCATGTGAAGAGAATATATACATTTTTTTCACTTTCTTGGAGTTCTGTATCCTGTTTCAGTACCATATGTTACAAAACCACTTGACAGTGAGTCTGTTTAAAACATTTATTCTTTTATACCCACTTGTCCTCAATGGGATATAACAGTCAGGATCATTGAACACTGATATTAGCAACTTAGGAAATATTAGATATGTAGGTGGTTGTTTGAACTATTAGTAAAGATCCCTGAGTTTCACCACCTAAAATTCTACCAAGTTACCTGTCCAGAATAGCTTTCTCTCCGGTATTCACTATGGGAGAATGTTGTGGGGCTGGAACACCGCGTCATACTTTGGGGACGGGGGAAGGCTGTTATAGCCCTGTGGCAGAGTCCAAATGACCACCCTAGCCTCAGAGCAGTATGGCCTAATGGCTGGAGTCAAAATGGCTGCCCCCTTCTGCAGGGCTACATGGCCTAGTGGCCAGGGTCAATATGGCTGCCCCCCCTTAGTCAGGGCTGCGTAGCCTAATGGCCAGAGTCTATATGGTGGCCCTCCTCTGCAGTTTATGATGGATTATTTCCTGTCTGTCTAAACTGTACTTCATTTGATAGGAAGATTTTTACTTCTGTGTCTAGCAATGCCAAAAGGTTTCTTATACCTCTTAAGTGCTATGGTGAACTACCGTATATACTTGTTCATTAGCCCATTTGTTTATAAGCCGACCCCCCAAGATGGATAGGTAAAAAATAGTAAAAACTGTATGACACTTTCATAAGCAGACCCTATATTTCAAGGGTTGTCAAACTTTGGCTCCTGGCCCATCAGGGTAAGCCGATGGAGGGTCGGGACGTTTTGTTTACCTGGAACATTCACAAGCATGGAGCCCTCAGCTCCCAGTAGCGCCACTTCCTGCAGCCCCAATTGGCTGGGAACGGCAAACTGCGGCCACTGGACGCTGAGGAGCTCTGTGCCTGCAGATGCCCCAAGTAAACAAAATGTCCTGACCTGCCAGCAGCCTACCCTGGTGGGCCGGGAGCCAAAGTTTGCCAACGCCTGCTATATTTTAAAAGTTGGCATCACAAGAAACACTCAAAAGTTTTGCTAGAATTATTTTAATGTAATCCAACGAAAAACCTGTTATAATATGTAACGATATGTAATAACTGAACAAATATGTAACAAGTAAGTTAGAACAAAGAGACTTTAAAAAGTCTTAAAATCCTTCAAAGTCTGAATCAGTCTCTGATTCACCAAACAGTTCATTAAACTCAGCTTCAGTCACAGCTGCACCTGCATTGTCATCGTAGATGTCGGCAGTGTCATCTTCAGACTCAGATTCCTTCTCATCATCAGCCTCTGTTGTGTCATCTTCAAACATGGCATCATCTTCTGACCCATTGAATGCGTTGCTGATACAGCATTTCCTAAATGATTTTTCTATCATTTCCGAGGGAATGGACACCCATGCGTCCTTGATCCACTTGGTGACTAGATTGATTTCGGGCTTCATAAGAGTTCCGCCTTTTGTCAGCTTCGCCATGCCTGAGCACATCCATTCAGACCATATTTTGCATGGCCTGTCTTTATAGGATTTGTTCAGGCAGACATCAAGCGGTTGTAGAACTGAAGTTAAGCTTCCAGGTATTACAGCCAAAGTAGTTTTCATATTTTTGGGCACATTTTTCACCTCATCCGTCTTGCGTGCCCTGAACATGTCCCAAACGAGCATAGCAGGTTTCTTGAAAAGTGCTCCTGGTCTCTTATTCCACACTTTTTTTTCCAGCCATTCAGTAGTCCCACTTTCATCCATCCATCCCTTTTCGTGTGCACGTACGATGACACCAGCAGGAAATTTCATGTTTTTAGGCAAAGTTTTTTTAAAAAAACAACAGGAGGGAGCTTTGATCCATTTGCCAAACACAATAAAACGACCGTAAAATGGATTTTTTCATGGCCAGTGGTTTTAATTAAAACTGTGTTTTCACCAACACCGATTACCATTCTGTTGCTCGGGAGATCGAATGTCATCGGTGTTTCGTCCATATTTCCTATTTGTGACAGTTCAAATGCATATTTTTCGATATTTTATAATAAACCTTTGGAAAGATTAGATTTTTTCTTCCAGATCTCTCAGCAGCTTTTGCGCTATCTTTGTTAGCTGACAAAGACAGACACTATGGTGGTTCATGAAGTGAGTACACCAACCCGCTGATGCAACAAACATTGATGGCTTTACTGACTTGTATTTGCAAAAAGAAAAGGAGTACTTGTGGAACCTTAGAGGCTAACAAATTTATTAGTCTCTAAGGTGCCACAAGTACTCCTTTTCTTTTTGCGGATACAGACTAACACGGCTGCTACTCTGAAACTTGATTTGTATTTGTCATCTTTCGACATTTGCAGAGCACGCAGACGAATTCCAGTTCTAGTGACAATGTACCCATTTTGTCAACATTCAACAACCCAATTATTGAGATCTTTCTCCAGCTCAGGAAATGAAGCGCACCTCGTTGGACATTTTTTCTTGCTTCTTGGCATGTCTTTTAGTGTTTTATTTTTTCGCCATTCTCTTACTTCTCATTGATACAGAATTCGCGAGCAGCGGCGCAATTATTGTTTGCTTCTGTATATTCAACAACTTTAAGTTTGAACACTGCGTGATAAGCAGACCTTTTTCTTTTGATTTCACTGTTGTTCATTTTAAATACTAGTATGAAAATAGATTATTATTATTATAGTAGTTATAGATTTTGTAGGACTTTATACAGGAATGTCACCTGCTTTATCACTGTCAAATTATTATTCTTGTTTGTTTATTTCAAAACAGCCCTATAGATTGGCATGTCTGTGGGGATAATAGGCTGTTTCAGTTTTATTAGAGATTCCATCGATTCTGCACGTTATATTTTCATATTGGCTCGAGACTTATGAGGTCCATTGGTAGAAATGCATGAAGAGATCAAATTACTGCTCTTTTAGGATTCCTTTCAAGCCAATCTAGTCCACTAAACAAAGCCTTTGCAACTTTAAAAGGCTGCAGTATTGACATCAATAAATGGATCGGCAGACTTTGGCTCCCGGCCTGTCAGGGTAAGCCGCTGGCGGGTTGGGACGTTTTGTTTACCTGGAGCGCCTGCAGGCATGGAGCCCCTCAGTTCCCTGTGGCCACGGTTCGCCGTTCCCAGCCAATGGGAGCTGCGGGAAGTGGCTGGGAACAGCAAACCGCGGCCATGAGGAACCCTCAGTTCCTCCCTGCCTGCAGGCGCTCCAGGTAAACAAAATGACAGTGTATTAAATATTCAATTCAATGGTTTCATAGAGTTTAAAATCAGCAGATTTTGGTGTAGACCCGTTTATAAGCCGACCCCCGCTCTTTGATGCGTCACTTTTTTACCAAAAAAATTCAGCTTATGAACGAGTATATATGGTAATTTCTGTATAACTTTTTAGGCTTGTCTTCTCTTGTTTTAGGTTGTGATAAACAATGCAGCTGGAAACTTTGTTTCTCCTACTGAACGTCTTTCTGCTAATGCTTGGAAAACAATAGTTGATATTGTTCTTAATGGTACTGCCTTTGTAACTCTAGAAATTGGAAAGGAACTAATTAAAGTACAAAAAGGTAAGTTACACTTAAAGCTAAACAGTGCCTGAGGATTGTGACATCTCATTACCATTTACTGTCCTTGCTTTAAAACTTGTGTACAATAGCAAGTTTTGATGCTTTAAATAAACATTTTGGTAAATGAGTTGTATTGCTGTACAGGTTTGCAAGAAGAAACTTTTGTATAGTGCAAACATCTTTACAACACAGCACTACCTTGCAGAATCCATCATTTTATTTTAGGACCTGATCCTGCAATCAGATCCAAAGTGAATGAGGCTGCCTACATAAATCTGATTGCAGGATTTGGACCTTATCTGTAAATTATTAAAAATAAGACTTTTCTTTAAATTACAAATAGTGCTATAACTCATCTCCTGTGTCCTTTCTCCATTTTCCTTTAATTAAGCAATGAACTATGTGGCATTCATTTAAATGGATTCAGTTAGGTTAAAAATCATGCTAGGTTATTTTTTCCCCCAAAAAAATACCATTAATGTTACTATCAGCACCTTAGATTTATTTAAAGTAAAAGAACTGCAAACATCTAAATATTGCTTTTCACTACATTTGAAGACTTTTTGAATTTCCCTCTACTTCACCAATAAAAGTAGACGTATTGGTTTCAGTCTTCTTTCTATTCTGTTTCCAGTCATTTTTCAAGTTCCAGGCTGTGATGTTTTGATGGCAAATACTAGAGGTTAATGTTTAACTTCAAGCAATATTTTTAAATTACGAAAATATTTAATATTAGCTTTTGTTTCTCATTTTTCCTAAATTCAAATTTTGATCCTAAAGTACTTGTCAGAGTGTCTGACGGTAACTCTGAAAATTGGACTAATTGGTAATTCTGTTCCAGTGGACATTCAAATATATAGTGCCTGAGTAGGCGACAACATAACCAATTTTTTTTCATTTGTCTTAGGGGAAAATGTTATATGCCAGTATATAATAACTGGCAGATGTATGTAGAAAGCTCTATTTTTATTCTGGCACACTGCTTTGCTAATTTATAAAATGAAAAAAAATAAATCTTCCTTTCCTGCTCTTTGGCTAGCAGCAGTGCAAGTTCTTGGGTATGGTTTTCCATATGGTCCCTTTTTTATTACTACTTTTCCAGATTTATTAAGGCACACGGTCACACATTTGAGTCAATAGCTCACACTAGATAAGAGCCTAGAATTGTCCTGACTTGTATTTAGAAAGATTAGCTTTTTAATAGGTACATTTTGGTAAACGTCGATTTCACTGTACGCACACAAACCAACAAAAAAAGTAGTTCCGTCAGTGGTGACAGAAATTTGCGCATAGGCGAAGTAAGAAAAATGCTGATTGAGAACTTAAGAATTTGATTTATTATATTTACTCAGTATATTTTGACATGTGACGTTGACAATTTGTGTTAAGACTTATATGAAGTGTTAACTTTTTGAATCTCAGTATCTACTGTCACTAAAAAAAATTGTCTGATCACACCCCATAATTTCCCACAACTGAGAAAATTTAAAAAATAAAAATTGGAAAAAAAAGCGTTAAACCCATGATTTCACACAACAGTGAACATTTCAATTGATAAAAATAAAAAATGCTTGAAACTAAACATTGATATCATCTGTTAAATATAAACAATAAAAATTGAATTCTGCAAAGCCTATTTGTATTGCATTTCTCTAGCTGCCTGATCAGATGGACTCGTTCATTCTAAGGTTTCAGATTTTTGTTGCTTTAACACAGTCTGCAATTATGTAAAAGCAGCAAAAAGTGTTTCCTTTCTAATAATAAACTTTGCCAAATATGTTCTTAATTATTGTACAATCACTGTGTCAGGCTCTTTCTTTCATACCTGAAACCATATTTACTGCTCATTAGATTGTAGTTTTAAAATCATCTCTTCATATATTTTGCTGTATATCATTATGAGCTTCATTATGATCTTTTTAACGAATCTGCGTATAACTGCCTCTTTGTGCTTCAGGGAATCCTTGGGAATAAGGTATTTTAATTTCTATGGGATTTTTCCTTGGGAACATTTAAAATAGTAAATTGCTAGTAGAGTATAGACTTAATTCAAGAATGAGTTACATCATCTTCCGTTATTTTTGTGATAATTATAATGAAAATTCATAGTCTCTTCACTGTACATGAATATTGAGTAGTTCACTTTACATATGTGAGCCATCTCATCTTGCAACTGTAATGTAATCTCGTCCTCTATTATCCAAAACCTACATTTATTCCAGAACGATATAGGAAAAATATAGAAGTGCAAGAAGTCCTATCTAGAGCATGAAAAGTAATAGCATGCATATAGGCTTGTTCCTATATTTTACCTGAACAAAAATCTGTTACTATCATAATTACAAAAAATGCTAATATGGTCATATTTATTGAGATTGCAGTCTTTATGACAACGTAGTACAACTTTACTCCAAAAAGTGTCCACGATGCTTTGAATTTGCTTTGCCATTGCTGTATGTTGATGACTAGAGTTTAAAGTTTCAAAGCTGTGTATAGACACTTTAGAGTATGTTATGGTCTCTGGTCAAATGGTATTTTCATGTGCCACATGCAATGCATTCTGGAAATGTACAGTCAGTCCAATAACACTTAGGTACTAATATCTTCTTCCTACTCAGCATCTAAGATCCATCCCAACAGACAAATCTCTGTTGGGATGGATCTTAGATGCTGAGTAGGAAGAAGATATTAGTACCTAAGTGTTATTTTACTGCAGTATTTTACTATTTTACTGCAGTAGCGTCTTTTCTGGTCTTCCAAACATATACCTTGCTTCCCTTTAGTCAATACACATTGCAGCCATTAAAGTCAGCTTCCTTGTCTCACAATAGGAACTTGTCAATGTCCTTTTCAGTTATCTTCCCTGGCTCCCCATCTCATATCCCATTAAATTTAAGCTTCTTGCCTCTTTCTTCAAAGCTCCATGTAATTCTTTCCATCTCTACATATCCTTATTAAGTTTCATGGCATCCCTCTACCTTCCCTCTCCACTCTAATAGTGTTCACAACCTTGGCCACCAGTTTATCGTCTTTCACAGTCGTGCTTTCTTCTTCATGGCACTCTCATGCAAGGCCTGTTCACGTTTAAGGCCCTCTGAGAGACCCACTTCTGCCATGCTGCCTTCAGTGAATCTCATTTATATTTTTTAAAATTCCCTATTTGTTGTTTCCCTTCCCCTAACCCGTGTCTACTTGCCTCTCCTTACGATATGAGCTCCTTGGAGCAGGGACCATTCTTTCTTGAATGTTTGGGATGCACATAGTACATTGTGAGTGCTACTATAAACAAATATTTAATAATAGTATGCTAGCATACATCACAGCTGTTGTTACAGAGACACTGACATGTATTTTAGGTCCAAAATGTGATCTACGTTAAAACTATTTTTATAAATAGTACACAGTTTGTTTAGCTTTTAAGCTCTTTGTTGCAGGAAGTGTCTTACTGTGCATTTGTATTCTTCCTAGCAGAGTGGGGGGCCCCAATCTCTGTTGGGGCATCTAAGTGTTACTGTAATACAAATTACTATTAGTAATCTGCCAGTCCATTGCCTCTTCATTTAAACATTATTTTAAATTTTAACACGAGATAGTGAAAACAATTAAATAATGCCTTTTAATGAACTGATACATTTACACATACACCTTGTAAGAGTGAACTGAAATACATATAAATAAAACATAGACGAGCCTTAACAATACCTGGTAAATATCAGTTTTGCTGCTTCTAAGCTGGGGGCACCTGGTTTTACTTAACATGCATTTAATAAACCTATTCCTTGTAAGTCTACTAATTACGAATAATTTATATCCACATCGAAATAGATTTTAAAGTTAGTTTGGGGTTTTTTTTGGTCTGTTTTTCTGTTCAGAGTCTCTGTATGGAGAATTTTATTTCTCTAAGGCTAATGGTTTTTTATTTTAATTCTCCTGTGAATTTTTCTCAACATAAATGTTTAATTGAGTTACTTTACTTTGACTTTGTATGTGGGCTATCCCCAAGACATAAAATGTTTGTGATGTCCATTGGGCAACAGTTCTAATTAAAATCATTATTCTACCTATAGTATTTTTTTTTTAATATTTTAGTTTTACATTCACTAGCATAAGGAACTAGTGGTCTCTTTACCAGGGACTTATAGCTAATATTTTATCCGCCCCCCTTCCCCCCTTCCTCCCCCCAACTACAGTAGGTACGCACTAATGATTGGGTAAGCTATTTTGAGTTACTGAGTATTACAAAAGAAAGTGAGTGAACAAACAAACAAAAATATTACATCACAAAAAGTACTTCATTTATGTTGATAATTGCTATTCTAACTGAATGTATTTTATAAAAACAGTCTTTGTTAGGAGACCTCATTATGGCACTAATAGCAAGATTTAGTACAATTGTCAAGATTAACTTTGGCATATTTTCTGTTGTAGTATGAGTTACTGTAACCTGCTAAGAAAAGAGATCTCTGGGCACTAGAATAAACTTCAGTTTCAACCTCAAGCCCCCTACTGCAATTCGTAATAATTTAAGACTATGCTGAAATTAATAATTGTTCACATTGATGTTTTATGTCCTGCCCTTTCAGCCAGGAAGTGTGGGGAACTGATGGAAGCTGGAGCAAAAATAGCTGCCTGAGAACTGGGGGTATGCCTGCACTGCAGATGGAGGTGTAATTCCCATCTTGAGAAGGCACCCACGCTAGCTTTCATTAAACTAAAAATAGCAGTGCAGCCACAGCAGCGCTAGCAGTGGCTCGAGCTAGCCGCCCGAGGACATCTCTAGGATCTTGGATTGGATTGTACTCAGGCAGCTAGCCCAAGCAGTTGCCTATGCCATCGCAGCTATATCACTGGTTATAGAACACTACCGCAAGCAAAGCTAGCATGTGTACATCTACCCAAGTTGGAAATTACAGCTCTAATTGCAGTATAGAAATATCCTAAAGGCCTGGGCCTCAAGAAGTATCATGAGAATAGTATCTGGCTCATGCCTTGTGTACACTAGAAAGGGTTTCTTGGTATAATTTCAGTGTCAGAGGGACTCTATAGGTGCAAGGACCTATTTGCACAATTCCAAATGCAGTATTGGGGTTTATAGTACCACCAAGAAAAAGAATTTTTATATATGGAAATATATATATATGGAATAACTCTTTCATTTCAGGGACAGGGAGAATCGAAAGTGAAAAGAACAGCTGGAGCCAAACTTGTTTGAGTTCATTTTTACAGCTGAAAGTTAAATCCCTGAAAACAGATGATGCAAACACCAGTACTGTTCTGATACTTACGTTGATTTTAAGATTTGTAGCTCATCCTGCATGTTTAAAAATGTTGTCTTCTTGCATCTTACAGGGGCAGCATTCTTGGCTATTACAACTATCTATGCGGAGAGTGGGTCTGGATTTGTATCACCAAGTGCCTCTGCCAAAGCTGGGGTAGATGCAATGTGCAAGTGAGTAGTTGAGCATACCAGTGCTTTATCTTCACATTTCCCAGACTGGGCTGATCGGTTCTTTATCCACATCTTGTCAGTCTGGCAAAATTAGCTATTTGACTGGATCATGAATGAACTCCTTAGCTTCCATTTTATGTAACAAGAAAGCAGTTGCTACTATCACAGCTTCTCATGGAAAGAAGAATTTAAGTTGTATTACTTTTGCCATCTTACTAGAGCAAAAAGATCAGTAAATAGAAGTTTACTCAATTCCATGGAATTCTGCTGCTTAAATTTTTATCAGGACTATCTGCAATAATTCTTTTAATAGCATTACACAGTTATCCACATTCATTCCCCAAACAAATACATCTGTGATTAGCAGCTATATGGGAATAGATCAGCATGAGGACTAGTATGTTGGCCCGAGGGTCGCATCACTGACACCTTTTTCATATAAAGGTACAAATCCCCTGCCCTGGCCTCAGCCTCACTCCACCCGTGCCCCGCCTCTTCCCACCCCTTCCCCAAAGTCCCCACCCCAAATCCCTGCCCCTGCCCCACCTCTTCTCTGCCACCTCGTCCTCTGAGTGCACGGCTCCCTGCTCCTCCCCCTCCCTCCTGGAAAGTGCTAAGCGCTGCCAAACAGCTGTTTGGCGGCAGGAAGTGCCTGGAGGTAGGCAGAGGAACCTGGACGCGGGGGGGGAGGGGAGCTTGGCGGTGGCAGCAGGAAATAACTCTGGGGGGGTGCAGGGAGCTTGGCGGGCTGCAGGAAATAACCTTGTGGGCCACATGCGGCCCACAGGCCACATGTTTGAGACCCCTGGAATAGAAGATACTAACAGACAGTTCAGCCCGTACACTTCAGTAGAGACAATCAAATGGAAATTTTGAAAATATAAGTAGGTCAGGTATGATTATTTCTCTAGAAAGCAAATAAGGGACACTTTTGCTTTGTTCTTTTACACTTTTTTCATAGAAGTTGAGTATGACTTAAAAGGGTGTATTTCAAAGACTAGCCACCTTATTCATTTACCACAACAGATGTTTTAGCACCTTTAAAGAAACAGCATGTGCAAAGACGATATTGTTCATAAAAGGAAAACTGCATTTCTTACTCTGCTTTGTAAAACATATTAGAAGTTGGGGTTTGGTTATCTTATTTTTCCTAGAACACTTGGTTTGAGAATTATATTGAAGACTGCCACAAGTGTATACTGGTGGGATTTTCTAAAGTGCCTAAGTGAGATAGGTACCTAAGTACCAATGATTGTCATTAAGGTATGCTTTATATGCAATATATACTTCAAATTGGTGTTACTGTATTGGTCAGTTGGCTAATTCAATGTAACATGAGATCCATGTGTGAGAAGATTCAAATCCAATAACAAAAAAAAGTAAAAATATTTCAAAAAAATCTGAGAACCTAGGTCAGGATTCAAATGTTAAGTGTTTATAAATTTGACACATATACTTCCCAGAATTGTTTCTAAATTACATCCTGAATAACATTAGACAACATGCTGTTTGAAATATTTATGCGTTCTATTAATGAATTTTTAGGTCTCTTGCAGCTGAATGGGGTAGATATGGCATGAGATTCAATGTGATCCAACCAGGTCCAATAAGAACAAAGGTACATTTCTATTATTAAAAAGTGAGACATGACTTTACATGTGCTTAGGCCTGGCAGAAATTGATTTTTATTTTTGTTATAATTTTGATGGAAAATATTAATGTTTATTTTAAAGCATTTTATATATTTGTATTCATTTATATTTTCACAGTTGCACAAAATTATGGTTTTTCGGCTTCTTATTTTTTTCTCAAATTTTCACAATTGTAGGAACTTACGGCAGTCATACAATAATTATTTAATGACATTAGATGTTGAGATTTAAAAAGTTAAAGCTTTATAACTGTTAACACAAATTGTCGTCATATCAAAATATACAAAATAAATAGTCTTAAATCAAACTCCAGTGAGTTATCAAGCAGCATTTCTTTTACTTTGCCTATCTGTAAATTTTGATATTTGATGGAAATATATTTTAATCAGTTTGTGTGTGTACAGTGAAATTGATATTGTCATGAGGTGCTCCAATCACTGCCAGTCTAGCGTCTCCTCCTGGTCACTTGGCAGTGTTCTCATTCACGGCCCCGGTGCCACTCCCTCAGTAGCTAGAAGGGGAACCGGGCCTGCCCTCTACTCCAAGTTCCAGTCCAGGGACCTTCAGCTCAGCAGTTCTGGGCTTCCTCTCTATGTCCTTACTGTTCCATCTCTGGACTGCTTCCTACACTCTGGTTCCCCTTTTCTCTCTCTGGGTGTACCAGCTCCAAAAAACCTTTTCCCAGGGAGTGACTATCCTTTCTCAGCAGCTGTCCCTATCTTGTGACAGCTTCCTGGCTTTATAGGCCTCGCGTGTTTGTACACAGGTGAGCCTGTTCCGAATTAGCTGCCTGCAGCCAAAAGCTCCCCTGTTTGAAGCCTAATTAGCTGATTGAGCCACCCCATCACAGACACACATCGACATTTACCAATAAAAATCTAATCATTCCAAGTCTACATATGTTATGTCATGCAAACGTGCTTTAATATAGCATATCTCTTACTATAACCCTTTTGGTATAGATAAGACCAAACTTGGTTTCTTCAGTGATCCAACAGTGTTGTGCAACATTGAGCAAGTCGCTTATACTCTCAGTAGTTTATTTTCTCCATCTGTGAAATGAGAGTAATTGTAAATGCTTCAGGATAGTATTTTCCCAAACTTTTAAAAGCTGAGCCTCCCTTCTCCCAATAAAGGAAAATGGAACTTCATGCCTCTCCAACTCCTCTGAGGGTTGTCTAAGGTTTACTCTCTTTTGAGAATTTTAGTTAAATGAAATTAAATGGTATTTTTAAACAGGTCTTTCATTTTTTATTTTAAGAAATGACATATTTGTCTGAGGAAAGCAAGGCTTTACAATAAATTCTGTGGCATTTGTTTGTAATTCTTTTGAATACCACATCCAATCAATTTTAAAATTTCAGGGAATGTTGTAGGCATCAATGGGTAGAACCCTATTGATTTTGGTGAAAATAGGAAAAGTGGAAGGAGGAAATTGGAGGACACACGGGCCCCTGGCATCTGGTTAGCAGACCCAGCAGCTTCAACTTCCTTTACAATTGTGTATATATCAAAGAACTGGTTTATGACAACCCTTAATGCCTTCCAGCATAATAATACCCACCATCTCAGCTCTGCTGATCCTCCCAGTACAGTTTAAAAATGTTGACATCCTGAATGACTTATGTCCCAGACAGAAAGAAAAGAAATAAGAGTGGTGGGGGAAATGGGGAGGTTCACAGAAGTCCTGGTGATTGGGTGGCAGGGAGGAGAACAGGGGGAACCCTGGTATTGAAAGGAAGGGGGAAAGGGAAAGCATAGAAGAGGGAGAGAATAGGGGAGGCATAGAGCCCCTGGCATGGGAGACAGTGATATGGGTGAAGGGAGACATGGGGGGCACACACAGCCTTTGGCATGAATGATGGAGTGGGGGATTTGCAGGGAGTCCCTGAACTAGAGGGGTATGGGAGGTTGACAAACATGGAGCTTGTAGGGGTAATGGAGCAATGCAAGGAGCCCCAGGTGAGTACAGTGTGCTTGGCCTACAGATACAACAACGTGTGCAACTCCCTAGTCAATATGGGATGTTAAATCAATGAATACAAATTATTTTATTATTTAAAACTGAAATAAAACATTAATTGTCAAGTTTACAGTATCACTTCACAGCAGTTTTTAGTTCTAGTTGCATGTGCTAAGTGTTGACATTAATTTTTTTCTCTAAAATACAGTTTCACACTCATTGACTATGTTAAGCACAGGTCTTGGCCTTGGCTTCCTCTCAAGTGGGCTTAGATGCCCTCATGGGCAATTTTGGCTTTGCTTCTCAAGCAGAAGTAAGGGAAATAAACCCACCCCTGTCGTCACTTAGAGTAGATTTTGTAGACCTTCATAATAAACCCTGAATAATTAAATACTTTACATTAACTATTATCATTTTATCTGAGTTAGTGGGGCAGCTCATGCTTCGGGGTATTGTTCAGGCTCTCTACGAACTAAGGTAGGCATTGCTGCATCAGGTGCTTGTGAGTCAAGTTTTCAAGATTCTCTGCAACTGTAATAGCTGGAGACTTACTTTTTTAATGAAAGCTGATATGCTGGAGAACAATGGAGAGGCCTATCTTTATTCTACCCGCACTTGTCCTAGGGGAAGGGGCCCACACTTTGGGAAACACTGTTTTAAGTAACCATAGGAGGAAAAGAAAAGTCCTTTGTCAGTGCCAAGTTATTAGATATACAACCTGGTATTTTAAAAAATAAGATCATTAAGCAGTTATGTTACTATATATTACTATTTTACTGATGTGTTTTACTAAATAGCACTGTGCTTGCATTGACTTCAATTATGTTTTCTTAGGTTTCTGATTTTGCTCAGTAAAGTTTATTCGTGTTAGTAAAAGATTCCATTTGAGTGAGGTTTTTCTCCCCAGGCTCAGCCATGTCTTGCACTGTCCCCAGATATTCAAATGCACTTTAAAGCCCAAAGCTATCTAGATTTATTCTGTTCGTTGTTCCTATTCAACCAGATTAAAGGATGCTTGCTTTTCAGTTTCGTTATTCTGTGCTATGTATGATTTTTGGTTTCGTTTAAGTTTCCTCTACATTTATTTACATAATGACAGGTTTCAGAGGAACAGCCGTGTTAGTCTGTATTCGCAAAAAGAAAAGGAGTACTTGTGGCACCTTAGAGACTAATAAATTGGTTAGTCTCTAAGGTGCCACAAGTACTCCTTTTCTTTTTACATTTCTTTAGTAGCTCTGCGGCATTTTTGTTTTTCTCAAAGCTTTATCCTGCACGTTTTCAGAAAAAGTGCACAAGACGCTTACTAGAGCCTCTCTTTACTGCTTTCTAATCGTGTAGAAGGGTCACTGCTGAACACCATGAACTGCTTTGTTAAATTCTGGTGTAACTGGTTGACTGACTTTACCCCAGAATTTGACCTTTGTCTCCTGTTCTCTCTTCACCCAGCCCCCAATAAGCATGGGATTGTCACAACACTCCTACTAACTGTTAACTTGTGTATTAAGTCTGATACCAGAAATCAAATCTTAGTTTGAATTTATTTTCTAGTTACTCAGAACATTTTGCTGAATGTTGTTGTTGTTGTTTTTTTTTAATTCTGTAGGGTGCTTTTAGTCGTCTTGACCCAACAGGTACATTTGAGAAAGAAATGATTGGGAGGATTCCCTGTGGCCGTCTGGGAACTGTAGAAGAAATTGCAAATCTTGCCACATACCTCTGTAGTGAATATGCAAGTTGGGTGACTGGAGCAGTAAGTTTTTGTTATTCTAGTTCATGCTGTCACCAGTATTAAGCTTATAGATGATGTTCTGAGTGGTGTTGAGAATTTTTAAAGAAGCTTTAGGTGCTGTAGCATATTTGAGAACTTAGCAAAAGAAATTGGTAATTTGAAAACTTTAGGTTCATTTTTAACCTAGTCAGTTGATTATATTTAAGGCTATGATTTAGTAGCGGAGGTCGCGAAGTCACAAATCCGTGACTTCCAGTGACCTCCATGACTTCAGCCTGTGGCGCTTGGGAGCTGCCCATGGGGGCCGGGAGCAGCGGTGTACACCTGCCGCCGCTGGCAGCCCCCAGAGCTCCAAGACGTCCCAGGTGGCGGGGGAACTCCTGCAACTCCCAGCCACCCCTGGCAGCGGGGGAACCCCTGAGCTCCTGGCTGCGGTGTGGGCCCCTGGAGCTGTGGGCGGCGGGAGAACTCCTGAGCTCCCAGCCGTGGCAGGCGGTGGAGGCCTCTGGAATTGCTGGCAGTGGGAGCACCCTGCATCTTCCCGCCCCCAGGAGTAGCAGGGGAACCCCCAAGCTTCTGGCCGCAGCAGGCCCTCAGGGCTGTGGGGGTATCCCAGAGCTCCCAGCCCCCGCAGATGGCAGGGGACCCCCGAAGCTGCAGGCGGCTCAGTCCCCACAGTTCCCAGCTGTGGGGTGCTGGGGATCCTGGAGCTCCAACACCCAACCTGCAGTGGGGGCCCCCGGAGCTCCTAGCCACTGCACAGCTGCCCCGTTGCACGTGGTGTGGGGACCCACAGATCACCATTTTGTCAGGGATATTTGTAGTAAAAGTCACGGACAGGTCACAGCTTCCGTGAATTTTTCTTTATTGCTCGTGACCTCTCCATGACTTTTACTAAAAATATCCGTAGGGTGACCAGCCAGCAAGTGTGAAAAATCGGGACGGGGTGGAGAGTAATAGGTACCTATATAAAACAAAGTCCCCAAAAATCAGGACTGTCCCTATAAAATCGGGACATCTGGTTACCCTAAATATCCGTGACAAACTCTTAGCCTTAATTATACTTCACTCTAGCTACTGGTTTTAAAGCACAGAGCTTCTTATAAGAAGTGTTGCATTCATTTATTCTGAGTGTATTTTTTAGTCTGAATTTGTACAAGTTGAGGTTGATGTTTCCAAACCCTGATATATGAGAATGCTAATGATACAGGAACTTAATAAAAAAGCACCAATTTTAAGTGCATTGCTTCCTTTTCCCCTAGGTTATTAGAATGGATGGTGGAGAATATGTTTCTATGGCTGGAGAGTTCAATGACCTGAAAAAGGTAATAAGTTACATGCATGCTATTTACATACAAACATACTTAAAAATTTATATAAAATTGTATGCAGACCCAAGTGAAATGCTATTTCTTCTTATATTATGTAGGTTACCAATGAGCAGTGGGATATAATGGAAGCATTAATCAGGAAAACAAAAGGCTCTTAAAATACTCGTCTTATCTTCCTTACAGAAAGTATCACTGGAAAAGTACCATTAGCTGTAAATCACACACATATTAAGAAATAATCTTGTTAAACATTTTATTGGCAATTCTAATAAAACATTTTTAAATTGGAATATGTTTTGAATGAGTCATTTATACTTACCCCTTAATTTGACTGTTTTGTTCCCATAGGCAAATGAAGTCTTCTGATTAGGTACGTAAAATATTCTACAGCTTTGAGTAAAAATATCTATGCCATGCTGTAGAATTAGTTCCACTTCTCTTCTTGTTTTAATGTGGGCTGGTCTACATGGTGTGATAGCATGCACCAGTTGGGGTGTAAATTCTAGTGTGCACCAGCATGTCCAGAGTGCACCAGCACTGACTGGTCCATGTGGGACCTGGCTGGCGCATACTAAAAGTTCCCCAGTCTCCATTAACATAGTCCCATTTCAAACAGTACTATGTTTTCAGGGAGTAGGGAGCCTTTAGTGCAGTGGTCCCTGCAGGCTCCATGGCACCCGCCCGGGCATTTGTGTGCACCCACCTACTGATAAGGGAGCGCTTCCGCCGTACAAACCGCTGCCGAAGAAGCGCGGCCGCCGGACAACCAGCTGCCAAAATGCCGCCGAAAGTGGCAACGCCAAGAAGCGTCGCCGCCGAAATGCCGCCGCGGGAACATGAATATGCTATTGCAACAGAAAGGTTGGGGGCCACTGCTTTAGTGCGTGCTAGCAGGATCCATATAGGCCAGTTAGTACATGACATACTGATGTGTGCTAGAATTTACATCCCAGCTGGCACACATTAAAACATCATGTAGACAAACCTGTATTTCAACATTTTTTCTCAGTTCAGATATTTGCATATTTTTTAATTATCATTTCAGTTCCAGTAATGTTTCTGGAATATTTTATTGAAAAGATAGAAGATAAACTGATGAAAACTACAAAATTAAGATGTAAGCTTTGCACTCCAGTATTAGTTCCTGATCCTGTAAACACTTACACGTGCTTTGCTTTACTACCGTGAGGAGTCAATGGAACATACATAAGTCTTTGCAGAATTGGAGCCTAATACTGTTGTTGGGAGGAAGAGTGTAAATGAGTAGGGAGTACTAAGGTACATCTCACACAGAAGTTAAAGACTGAATACTAGTTACAATCTTGATTTTGCTGACATTTTTCAGTCTGTGTTGCATCTGTTGTAATTGATGTTAAAAATTGCATTGAAGACTGGGTTTGCCTTCCTGAATACATATATATTTTCTTTATATATATTTTTGCTCCCTCAAAAGTTTTGAGTAAATGCTCTTGAAAAGAGAGACTAGTAGCTCCTTCGGTGCAATTGTGATTCTGAATCCTTTACTCATTGTCTGATATCACTTAGGGCAGGAACAAGGCTCCACCATTCCTGTCTATCGTGCTATTTGATGGAATGGCTACCTTGTATTTCCATAACTTTTTTATGAGAATAGGTTGTTGGCCTTTCACTCAACCTGAAGGCTCCGTGGATTGCTTTTTGTCTGATCTCTGCCCTTTGACCTGTCTGGCTTGGGTGGCTCTACGAGGAGTCCAAACTCATGCTGCTAGAGTTCTCATTGGCACATACAAGCCTTCTCACTGCATCAAGGTGCAGTCTCCAGGGAAGAGCTGTTGTGAGTACTAGTGACACATTTTCTGCATGACTAGGCATGTCTGCTTAGGAGGAATTTTTATTAAAACTAGAAAAGGAGACTTGTAAGTCAGGACTGCGGACTGCATTGGCAAAGCTTTGTGGAAAGCTTGCACAGCACTTGCCTTCACAAACCAGTGCTGTTCTGGTCTATGTTGAGTAGTCTGTAATGGAGGGTTCTGGGGTAGGAAAGATCAGTGGTATGTGGGAGGGAAGCAGGGTTAATACAGGCAGTGCTGCCAAATCTGCAGCCTCAGGGGGTGTGAGGGGATGAGGGTATGGTGAGAGGGCACTACTGCTTGTGTGATATCTACTGCCAATGTTCCAGTGCTGCATGGTGTGGAACACAAATCGCTTATTGCCAAGTGTTCTGTGGGATTGTAACTAGGGCTTATGCCCATAAAAGCAGGATGCTTTCTCCTATATTAGAGCTCAGGCACATCACAGGCCCCCAGACTTTCTTCCTGTTTAACAAGAAATCTCTATCCACTGTGTTTTTAACTCTCTCCACAAGTGTACACATCAGTTCTGGATACAGTGCCTATTCCCTGCTTCCTCTGGGACTCATGTAGCCCTCCCTCCATGTCTAGTATGGCATAGGAATTTTGATCAGGTCATATGCTGGACCTTGGGCCTTTTAGCTGGGGACCTAATTGAACGACTTTGTTAGGGGCCCCAGATTTCCTTGAACCAGCCCTGCAAACAAGCAAGAAAGGAAGGTAACGAGCATTGGGAGTACTGGAGAAGAGGAAAGGAGCTAGTGGGAGCTGCAGAGACGGACAAGCTCCCTTGGATGTGAAGTTACAGCTACTTTTTGAAGTAAAATCATGTTTCTAGGGGACAGTAGCTATCACATCAGTGAATTGTATGATCAATCCTGTGAACTCAGGATGAACTCATCCTCAACGTGGAGAGACCATGCAAATGACTACATATCATCGCTCTTCAAGCCAGAATTAAATCTGGTCTCCAACTGTATCATGAAGTTTTTCCTTTTTGCTTTAGTAGGTGATTTGCTGTCTTGATGAACCTTTTATAATTCTGTGCATTAAAGATGCTCTGTAAAAGTGAAATGTATTGTATTGCATTGTTCAGCGTGCACATAAATAAGACTCTACAATATATTAAACCCATTTCAGATATTTTATGTGGAGAAACAGGGAGTGCAGAATAATTTTGCAGTTACTATTGAAGACGGAATAGAGCTGACCTGGACTGTTCCTCACTGTGATATTACAGTTGCTGTTTACCTTTTGTTGCCTATAGGAATTCTCTCCTTTAGAACAACACAAGTTCTGCTAAGACCATTGGTGGTGGTGTACCAGTCTGAGAATCTGCCTCGCTTTTGTATGATATTTCTATTTTTGAGGTCTGTCTGTTCATTTTAGATTCTAAACTCTTTGGACAGAGATTGTGTCTTCCTCTTTCTTCTTTACATCCTGATACGCACTGACAGCACTTTAATAAATACAAAGGTTGAAGTGGAAGGTAATTTGTAAACTGACTTTTTAACCCCAGCTTGCATCTCATGCTGGTATTAACTAGCATTTTTGCATACAGATGGTTTCTAATTCTGAATTGAGTGTTCTCTTTCCTGTAGAATTGGGTCATGTAGCTGTTTTGCTGAACAATGTGCTGTAACTCGTATCCCTGCTTTTACACTGTTAAACTGACTTAAATAAAATACTACCGTGCTACCATAATCCAGTAAAATAAAACCATTCTTGATGTTTTAATACATTGGCCTGATTTTCAAGGTGTAGAGCAATTGTTGATTTCAGGGGGATTTGAAGGAGCTCAGCACTTTTGAAAATCAGGCCACTTATATTTAGATGCTTAACTATGGATTTCTGAGCCGCCTTTTAGGCACCTAAGAAGAATGTTATTTCAGTGTGTATCGCTAAAAAATGCTTAGGATGGAAGATGTACTGATTTCTAGTAACAATGCAGTGCATAAGTTCTCATCACACAAAGTTAGTTTTGCCTAATGAAATCAACCCTTTAACTGACAAAAACTTAAATACAGTTTTTGTCAGTTAAATTGGATCTTGAAAAATTGGATCTTGTCTTGTTATATTAAGCACATCTTACTAAGAAAGCAGCATTGGCAAACAGTGTACTGATCTATATTTGACCTTTGCACAGTGTGAGAGTTGCTGCTATAAACATTTTTAAATTTTCAGTGGCCTTCAGGTGAAGAGTGAGGGCTGGGCCTCGGAGTGCAACATGGGCAGGGCCATGGCCTGGGTCGGGGAGGCTTATGATACCTGCCACCCATGCTGGGGGTGTGGCCCCATCACCAGCACCCTTAATTCCACCACCTAGGCCTGAAAGCATAAATTCATAACTTTGCTAGACACTAAAAATCATCCAGTGAATGGAGACACTGGCTTTATTACTTATTACAACAATCTATAACCCACTAACAACCCCTCCCTGCCCAGATGCCCTTTTTCTCCCTCTCTGACTGGACAGGTGTTAATGGATCTCCTCACCTTGAATGGGCCCTTGAAATATGTGTTAACTACTTCTGCTAAACAATCTGTTCCACCTGCGGAAGAGCTCTGTGTAAACTTGAAAGTTGTCTTTCTCACCAACAGAAGTTGATCCAATAAAAGATATTACCTCAGCCAACTTCTCCCTCAAAACAGAACATGTCAGGCCTATGTGCAACAGTGAATGAATGCATAAATCTCTCCCTTCAAGCTCTATGTTCAAATCCTTATTAGGTTGCCCGTGAAAAGCTTTGTTTTTCTTTACTCCGGGTAGTGGTCCTTTGTCACAGATGTCAATTGTGCATTGTTAACAATTTCTGTTTAGGAGATTCCTGAGGGACCTCATGTTGTGAATATCATGTGTTGTAGGCCAAGGTTGGGGAGTGTTTTGGCACTGCCTAGCTTTAATTAGTTAGATCAATTCAGTAAGTAAGGAATTTATTTATAATGCATATAATTGAAGTGTCAGCCATAAAGGTAATGAAGACAACTTTTTTTTTCTAAAGTACAATAGAACTTTGCTGTTTTACACTTCACTAAACTATATACTTTAAAATGCACATAGACAATGGTCTTCTCAGTCGATTTAGTAGCAGATAGTGTGGTGAGGTCTCCATTGTAACAGCATATTTTGTAAAATGTATATATTTAAACTCCAAAATATTATACTCATCTTACATAGCACATTTGCTTGCATATTGTATAGTGTTACATTTTAGTAGATTATTTTGTTAATGAGTGAGTAATTAAACATTTTAGTAACTAAAATATATTATTTCCTGTTTAACTACCTCTATATAGGTTTCTTTATAGAGTCTGAATACAGTATACAGGAGCTGCAGGTATAATTAATATTTTAGCTGTCTATTATTCTTCCAGTATGATCTTTCTGCTGCCACCAGATATCTCCCAGAATAAGCAACCTTAGAGTTTGACCATCACCAACTCCTGTTGTCTTCAGCACC